AGACTACCTACTGAACACAAATACCTAGTGACTTTGATGAACAAGGAGCACAACAACAAAATTGAGAAAATATATTTTAAGAGTCATTCAGGTATTCTAAAGAAAAGATTAATAAATAAACATTCAAGCACAAGCATTGTGATGATTTGATTCAAGCTTGTCTGTACACAGGCATATTCACCAAATAATTTCTGTGTTTAACAACACATATTTCGATGACATATCCAGTCAATCTAGGACGGAACCTCACATCTTTGATCTAGCAACAGGAACTGTCGCTCAGCAACACTGAGTTTTAAAAATCAGTATGTTTACAATTCTTAACTGAAAAGAAGCCTTGTTTTTGCAGGTGTATAGACATATATCGTGATTGCCTTGTTACGTTTGTTGACATTTTCAACCACTAAAACTAGAAAATTTAAAAGTGAAATGAAATTTTTTTATCAAGAATCTGTTTCTATAGTTCCCTTTTTATAGTTCCTTACCTATCTTTATAGTTAAATTAAAAAGAATGTTTGCCACTTAAACTATGCAAAATAATTGCCATTTTCTTTATAACCAAGCATAAGACAGGAAGGATATAGACGCTCAATAGAGAATGCTGAGGATTTTTCTGAACCAAGTATCCCATTTGTCAAACAGCTCATATTTGATTGTAAAAGGTTTTTTACCTCAGCCTTCTTCCTGTGCCGTAATTTGGTGAAATTTATTTGAAAAAAGTATAATTCTGTACTATTTTATAATATCAATTTGTTCTTTCGCTACACACGATATCAAATAATGGATAAACCTTCCACTAATTACTTCCTATCATCTATAGTCGATCATGAGTTAAAAAGTGATAACTGATCACAACAGAAGTGTATACAATTGTTCAGCTGCTGTTGGGAAAGCGGATGGGTTGGTATTTGGCAAACATTGTTAGTGGAATGACTGTTAGACTACTTTGTCTATGTTCTTAGCCATAATGTCTTAAAAGAAATGTCATTTGTTCTTTATGCGCAGGTTTGTGCAATTATGGAACAAAGATTCGTTATAAGATAAGACAACATAGAATAAGATTACATAGAATAAGTTTACATTGCACACACAAGTAGTTTTCAAGTAAGCACTTCGACCGGCACAGTTTTAAGCAAAAGAGCTACGATGCCTACCAAACGTATCGGACTAGAATACTTCATAGGTAATCGAATGGCGAAAAATTAAATTATTTTCTTTTCTTGAAAATGAATTCCAAAGAAATATAATTTTTACGTACTTTCTGTCCTCTATTTCCATTAGTATACATACTTTTGAAATTATTATCCATGCCTGTATTTTTGCTGCCAGCAAAATAGCTGCAATGAAACTTTGTCATGAAATGCAAATTAATTGAAAAATTAACTTAACTGAAGCAAAAATGCCAAACTTATAGAAAAATTTTATAGACCATTTGTTTTAAAAGATGTAGAACATGCTGTATCGAATACAAGAACTCTTTGAGCTAATTCGATTGGCATACTTTGTTTCTAGTTTCTAGTTAGCACGAAAATAAAACCCGAAAAGATGCTCCTCTGCTTCTCCAATAGAGATCGGCTTCTTGACTTCTATCTTATTTGTTTGCGCTCGAATTTATGTGGCTCTGGTACCCAGGGTAGTTGCTCTGGTACCTAGGATTATGACTCTGATACCCAGAGTTGTGGCTCTGCTATTCAGGGTAAAGCATAACATAAATGTGTATGTCTTGATCTAAAAAATAAGCTATATAGATGAATCATGAGATTTTTATTTGAATTCTGTTAAGGGAATATTAAGGTACAGTTATAGCAGTATAAACTCTACCGTTTTTGCATTATTTCACGATGTTAGGTTTACTCTGTAGCATGTTACTTTACCATAACAAAATAAAGATTACGATGTGATGTTTTTTAAGGTTATTGTTCCAAGAGCTTAATTCAAAACTTCTGTAGGACCTTTATGAGACTTACCTGTTAAATTTCTATTCTTTTTAACACAATTAATTAATCTGCGTATATTACAGATGTCTGAGATAGACGTATAAACGAGATTTCAGCTACATGCAGCTTTAGCTGTTTGATTTTTATCGATTTTTATCATTGTATTGCAAAAAGTGTCTGCGGCAGGCCAACGTGAATTTGATAAAGTTAATATAATAATATATATAAGACCACCTGTCAGAATCAAAGTAAAACTTTCAGATCTTTAATTTTAGAATATCCTGAAAGTCTATCACAACATTATCATAATGTTCATTATTGTCAAGACATTATTATGATGGTCATCAAGTGTATTCGATTCGAGCAGAAACTCCTTTACTTTATTTTTGCATAGTCTGCAGCTCCAGTCTGATCTTCCTTTGTTTTAAAGCGGTCTTAACAAAGTAATATAACTTTTGATTCACGTATGCTTGGCATGCTGATGCCCGCAATGCAACATGGATAGATGAGCAAAGCAATCATTCACCAGGGCAATGTCATGGATGAATTGAAGCAATACCTTTAAGATACTTGTTTTCATTTCAAATGAAACTAACGATAAAAATAATAATGAATTCTTGATACATTGTCTGATATCGAGAGAATCCCTGTTTTTATAACCAAACAAAAATTGCCCAATCCAAAAGTTTGCTGCTTATATTACCTAGAATATATTACAAACGTTCTATAAAAGGTTTATCAACCCATACAACAACCTTTCTTGCTTGAAAAAGAGGTGAAATCTAACAGCCTTGCATTACGATATATTACCAGGGGCGGATCCAGCAAAAAATCTAACTGTGTTCCAGGCCAAGGCTAGGGTCTTTCAGACAATGCATTGATAATTGTGCACAAGACAACATTATTATTCATATTTATGCATTTTGGTACCATTGAGGGGGAGGGGTAGGTACTATCCACTCACTAACTCTAGATTCTCGATTTCTTTCCGACAAAAACAGTGCCTCTGTAAAAATTTTTGCAACCCTCTCCCTTTCTCAATAACCTTTTGTTTGTCTTGGATGTCATAGCAAAGTTTTTCCCTTTTGTTTTGCTCAAAATTTGTTGTTTTGCTTCCGTAGACACCAGCCTATTCATCAAAATATGAAGCTACCATACCATACATGAAGCTAATCAGCCTTGGCGATGCATTACATATCTTTAAAAAACTGTTATCAAAAAGGTTCTCGCACTCTCAGTCTGTGCTTTTGGAATTTTCTAATTACATCCATTGACGCTTAATCTGATCATGAAATACATCAGGAGCATTCCTGTTCAAATATCTTGATACAAACCGGTACACTGCATGTTCTGAGTATTGGTAACCGAGTGAAACAGATGATCTTTTTTTGATGGCGTGCACCAAATACAATCTTGACTTCTTATTTCTCTAGCCCTTCAAGTTTCTGACATGAGTATAATAATAAGTATAATGATCCTTCGCTGATAGTATTGTAATATTATTATCAAAAATAAAATATTGCAATATTATAATAATATTTTAGTCAAACTGCGTAGTATTTCTTGCCCGTTTTACGAATGTTGTAGATAGCAAATTAGCTGGTGGAGGAGCATCAATAAAACCCAGGTTTTATTGCTTAAAAAACTTATGAAGTAGAGAATGCATGTCAAACACTCTTTAATAATGCATGAAAAATCTTTTTGATATTTTCATATACGTAGCAAAGAGTTTCTGTGTTGTGTTGCTCATAATGCTAAGTGCTAAGTGAAGGGAGATTGGATTAAAATTGAATTTGCATATGGCCACCATCGTGTTCTTCAAAATGAATATAAATAGAGGCGTTTCTTAGTCAAGCTCACTTTCTAAAGAAAACGAGAGTTTGAAATTAACGACATGCTAAAAAAGCAATAATAGCACAGCAAATATATTTAATTTGCGAATTTTTTTCTTCGCTGAAGGATAATCATTATGAAAACATACAGCTTGGGATGTCGTCATCGAAGTTGAGGGCTTTTATGATTCTGTATAATGTAATATCTTAATTGCTTTGCTTCTGAGTGAAAGCTGTCGTTGGAAAGGATTGCTGCAATTCAGCTTGCATTGCTTTGAAAGTTTACATATCATGATTCGGTTCTGCAACTTAAACTTTATTGTTTTGAATCTTCTCTTTGATTGTTTTTATGACAGTTAGATTAAGGTTTTTGAAACCTTCAACAAACGGTCTTAGAAAATCAAGTGTCACCCAAACAACATTGTGTTGTTTTATATTCGTCGTGTAAGAAAACCCAGAGTTGTGATTAAACCCATTGAACAATTCGATTAAAGATTCAACAAATATATTGTCAAACAAAGGCAACAGTAACTTTAGAAGTTTAGAGGGACATGAAATATGCCATATGATATATGATACAAAAATTATTTGGATTTATAAAGATTTCCAGATAGTAGAAAATAAACTACAGACTGTTGCTGCAGCTCTGTTACGAACTATGGAACCTAATAGTTAGTTTTCGATTATCTCAGCATTTAGAGAAAAAGCTGAGCCCGCCTTTGAATAGTAGGCGAGTCAAACAAGAGGCCAAGCAAAATGATGAAAGACCGCAAAATGGTCTTGGCACATCCTTCTATTATAGTTTGTGATCAGTAAATTAGATACTTGTGAAAGATCTTGGCCTAAAATTTTATTTAATCGTCATTACAAAAAGTAGAGTTGCATCAAAGATTAGCATGTTGATAAAGATTTGCTGGGCTTAGAATTCAAGTCTGCCATTCCTTTATGCCTTCATTGTTTATGAGAGTTTTCAGAACTGAATCTCTCAAAAGTTTCTTCACGTAAAAGGCTTTAAAGGAAAGTACCATTGAGCGAAACATTCAACCAATCACACAATTAATATATTCCAAAGACACGACTTGACAAACTTGTTGCTACAAAATATTTGAAAAATGCCCATATTCACATGGTGGTGACCGCAGGCGCTTTGCTACGTGAATTCGCCAGCTACAGGCTTGGTTTGGTCTCACAAAGGTGAATGAATAACTGAACAATACTTTTACATGCCTTCGTTTTTGATGGTCTAAGATGCATAATAAACCTGACTGTGATATATGAACAACTACGCTTGTCTGACGAAATGATTAATGATTAAATAATTCAATATTCAAGTTGTTTCGTTATCGTAACAATCTAATGCTCATTCAGCATTGTACTTCCTGCATGAATTATGCATAAGCAGAACGCAAGGTCTTCAGTTTGCGGGTAGCTGAGTTTTGAGCACCAGCTCTTACTAAGGTTCGCTCATGAAAAGAAGCACAGACGGAGACGACGTTTTTCTGGGGCAAAAAACTGGGATAAACGTGCACGATAGATCTGCAGCCATGAATTTCATGCTCGGATGTCGTCATCAAGTCAATGAAAGAAGGATCGTATTCTTTGTCTTTATCAGTATGGTGAATTTATGCCGAGCCACTCTCCTAGATGAGTACGTTTTAAGTTTGCTTATGTTTACTGTACTAGCTTATACTAGTCTGTGCAAGCAGTTTGAAAAATCATGCAATTATCATAGAAATAGATGGAATGTTTTCAACTTTCTGGTTGCTATTTGAAGAGAAACTGAAGTAATGGAAAACAGTTTGATTGGAAATCTTAATTTTCAATTTGCCTTAAATTAATAATAAATAAAATCCCAAGCCACTGAGTATAGAAAGATAGTGGTGTTTAAGAAGATTTAATTCTTCAAGGCGCCAGAAATTTCGGCAATTCCCTGAATCTATGAGTATGATCTAGGTTATCAATCAATTTCAAATCCTAGATACGCTTATCTTTGTACAAGTATCACAATTGAAGAAACAGAATAAATCCAAACTTTCAAATTACCAAAATCATTTTAACTAGCTATGCATGTGTGCCGGGTTTCGTGGTATAACACTTTCAAAATTCAAAAGCCGCAGCCTATGAAAAGTGTTTTAACAGTATGTACGTGTGAAACTTTAATTCGTTTACTTTTCTGTCTGCTTATTGACAGTATAGTGTGCTCTTTGAGAACCTGCAAAGAGATCTGTCATGATTTGTTTGTAATTCGACCAATGAGCTTGTTGAAAAACGCTGTACTGACAAACCAGGAGTCAGTAGAGAACACCAAGTACCGCCTTGCCAATTATTTTCAGCACTATAATCACTATGAGCAAAATTATTTAAAAACTCTATCATTTTGCTTTGTTGACTAACTTTATCAGTTACTGTCATGATCTTGAGGTTGCTTTGAAATTTGACTTTTAACAATTAGATCGAATCTATTATTCTCAAAGTTTCATATCGATCAATAACATGTTTACTGTAATGCAAGTCGTACAGACCCGCCCTTGCAGAAGCAACCATAAATTTACATCTTCATATCAACAACCAATTTTTCAAACATTTGAAACTCAAAGGTATGTCCAGGTAAAAGAAAGAAAGGTTTCAATTTGCTTGGAGAGTAGGACAAAACTAAAAGAGAAATACCGGAAGTGGTTGAATCCAAGGTCCGTGGAGCATATTACAGATTGAAGGAACTAAAACGTTTCGGGGAGGGGGCGGGGGCTGAACATGCTAAAAACCAAGAGTAGGGCGATTTTTTGTATGGTTTTAAATGTATGGTTTAACTTCTTTGTATTATTTTAGAAGTTTCCAGGGGGGCTAAAGCCCTCGTAGTCCCCCGCTTCCGGAGTCTCTGGTTAAGCTCGTCAATAAACAGTGGTGGTATAATATTACCGCTTCATTGAGAGTGCTTTCGATTGTAAACCAATCAAACTGTACTGCAGATTTTGAATCACTTAAGCAATTTTTATTAGCCAAGCAAGCATCTTCAATGTAAGAACGAAAGAAGAGCCTTATTAACGACAAGACAAGTGCCACTGCCAGAAAAGTGGTGATCTCACCTCAATCACCACCCCTGTGCAAGTGATGATCTCATCCATTCCCTTTCGTCGATTTCAGCGTGTTTACCAGTTCAGATTTGGCAAGAGCACTTGATGAAAAATTACATGCCAGTGTATAAATAAGTGTTCTTTTTTACAAAGAAAAAATCATTTCTTAGAAGCTTGCTAGTGTAAACGACTTTGGAAATAAATTTGAGAATTTTGACCTGTCTCTAGACCGGCCATTCTTAAACTCCGGCCCGCGGGCCAACTCCGGCCCGCAGCAATTTTTTATCCGGCCCGCCGAGCGCTTTATCTCAAAAAAATATTTTTGTTTCATTCATTTGTAAAAAAGTTGATTATTCGCTGTTATGCTAAGATAATTTCAAAAACTTTGAAAGACCCTTTCTTTTCATGCCAACATTAAAATAGATAAAACTATGGAACCGTTAGCTTTTCTCCCGTCAAACTCTATTGTAATATGTTCAGCGGTCTAAGGACTTATTTTCAGATTCAAACGAAAGAACGACGACAAATTTCTCGGAACAACAAGATGTATATCGATGAAATGCTTTTACATGTAAATCGTAATTTTAGACTAACCGGAGAACCTTTCACAAGCGCTCTCATAAAACGAACTGAACTAATTGTGTAAAAATCTAAATACATACAATTGTGCAATATAATAGTATAGCTCAAGGGACAAATAATTGATACGCGAAGGTCTATTTAGAATCTGCAAGGTTAATAGGATTAAAAGACATAATGCGGAGAAAATACAAATATGTTACTGAGTTAATTAGAAAACGTGAACGTAGAAAACAAGCAAAATGAGATTCGAAATAAACTTTCTATGTAGCTTTGTTGGTAGCAACCATTAAACTAAAATTCTGAGCAACACAAGTAAGGCGTGGCGGTGCAGTCGCTGCAAAGCATGACATGTGTTGCAAGGCAAAGCACAAAGCAGTATTACACTATTTTAGATGCAATTTCTGGCCATCCCTAGATGCCTTTTTCTTGCCGCCAACCATGGTGGCGGCCTTTTTAATACAAACACTATCATTAAATTTTGGCCCCACTTTACAATACGTTTCGCCGTCCCTGAATCCGACTACAAGTTCATTGATGGATTCAAGTTGACGTCATCAATTTTGTATCTCGCTATCTACGGATCTTTTTCAAAAATGGACTTCAGAATTGAAATCTTCATCTTTAAATTAGTTTATACTAAAAAATTCATTTTGTTTGGACCGTTCGGTCGCATGTTACTTTGTTTCGAATATTTAGGTATTTCTTTAGAGTTGACCGGAACTTGCTGCTGCAGTAAAAAAATTTCACACGGCCCAAACAATTAGAAATTTTTGGCAGAGACTAACTTCAACATGAAGGTTCCAATTCTGTTATCCATTTTTGCCAAATATGAAGATCAAATTGCTCGAATTCGAGAATTAAGTCGACCTAACGAATATCAACGTCGTAACCTAAAAATAGCATAACTGTCTTCTGATTCGACCTGGTAAAAGAAACGCATGCTGCAAACTTTTATGTAAATCATTTTTTGGCTTTATATACTTTGTTACAGCTCGCAGCTTTTAGTCCCCCTCCTCCAGAAAGTTATCCCTGACCTTGGGCGTGTAAATCTGTCGGGTATTGCACATTGAGCCAATCCCTCTTACATCAAGCCAGCATCATGCTCCTAAATGTTATCATGGCCCTCCCTTTTTCTCTCCTCTCATCCACGATTCCCAATCTTATTTAATGAGAATAAGCGCACTGCATTGGTTTTATCAATATAGAATCAACAAGAAATAACAGGCCTGCCTATCTTATCTCTAAATTAGCCTGGTAAGTATGAGAACCGAACTTCATTTTGTGCAACTTTTTTGACCCAAGCTATGTAAAAGTCGAAAACTCAGTGGCTCCCGGAAAAAACCACATGTTTTCTGGCCCCGCACTCAAAACAATTAAGAACCCCTGCTCTAGACCCTGCATTTCATAAATTGAAATTACTGCTGCTAGGCTAATATGACAACGAAAGCCATATCGATATTTGCTTCTGCGTCCTTCAGTTCTCAAAATGCATGGCTTGCTTACCATCAAGGACTCACTTTGGCTTTCTTTGTTATGTTACATTACTATGGTACATTTTTCCTATTCTCCCTTAATCTTGAATCTCCCTAATACCTGTGACGCAAAAAGAAAAAACGGATTTTAAGGATTACAGTAAATCGAGGCTCAAGTGAAGATTCCCCTTTGTTAATTTACATTGAAACTTTAAATCTCATGCATGGAGTGCCCGCTCCATACAAATCCATTTGTTGGCTTGATCTCACTTGAGTGGGCTATCTCACTTCATATGAACAGGCCTTTAAAAGTGGATGACAAACGCCTTCAAGGAAAATAATATGCCGTCCTATTGCAAAATCCTAATGTGACATTTGAACTTTACAAAACATCTGAAAGTAAAAGAGGATTCACTCTTAGTTGACAAAAGCCCAGTTATCAGCAGATGTTCCAAATCCAGTTTGTAAAAAGAGATTTGGCATTTCCTCTATTTTTCACCTGTGATTTAAATACAAAACTTTTGATTAAAAAAACGACAACGATTGTTAGCCCCATTGATAGGACAGGCCGCCTATAAACCAACTGGTTGGCAAGATTTTGTTTTTAACGAGCAAGTAAAAAGCAGCTTTTTCTTAGCGATACAGCTTTCCCTGGACAAGGTGGTTGCTGAGACAAAAATAGCGCCACCTTATCAGAACAGCTTTATAGTCTGGACGTAAGAAGCATTTAAAATTGAGAGATAGCAATTTAAAGCCCCCTTTATGGCTGTCAAAAATTGAAGGCATCTATGCTTTGTGTCTAAGCTTTATTTTATGTGTCCAAGCTTCAATTGAAGTCTAAGCTTTATTTTCAATTTCTTTAGTGTTTGAGATTTCAAAAATATATTAATCGCAAAAATATATCTATATATTGCACCCCAATACTGCCCATAAATGCTGTCTGTATATTCTCAAACGGCCCAAGATTCCACTGTAAACTGTTACTGTTGCCAATATCCATGTTTTGTTATTTGCAACAGTAATCGCTTTGGAAGGTCATTTTTATCGGCAATTCTTTAGACCTACACCCTTTCTCGTGATTTTCTTTACCTTTGCTCCTGCTGTATAATCTGTTCCTCGTCATGTGTAGATCCTCGAAGCTGTAGATTTTGGAAATTAATAATAGTGGATTGATGATCGATGGCAGAAGGCGATAAGCAAGGGGCGAATCACTCCAAAAAAAACCGTACACTTTTTGTGAAAATCCTATTGTTTTATCTGAAAATCCCTAGAAATCCTTTTGTTTTAAGGGAAATCTCGTACGCTTTTTGCAAGAGTGAATTGCCAAACCATTGACAAAACCTTTATTGAAAAATTAAAGCTTAGGTAAAATGTGGTCTCCCTGCACTTATTGAAATGAAGACGAAACATTTTCTCCCCCAGTCAAAGCTAGTTCTCCAGTTTTTCGAACATTGATCGGAAGCTTGGTATTTGAGGTGCGGCCCCACATCACGTTACTAATGGTATGCCAACGTGATATGGGGGTGTACCTCAGAAATCAAGCCAAGCATTCTCCAAAAACTCCAATCAAGAGCAAAGACTAATCTAAAATGTTATCTCAGCATTTAAAAAAATGCAAAGTTCAAGGACGGATGGGTATACAACTGGTAACCAGACAATCAATTGAATAGATATGACAGTTTAGCTATCCAGACAATTCGTAGATTAAATTTACTCGGATGTCTTAGACTTCAAGCTGCTCAACAGTTGTTCGATCCTTAGTTATAATTGACCAAAAATACTTTCTTAGTTGGGAACTGTATTCATTTACCTTAATGAAAATTAAGTTGGAGCTCCGAAGAAGAGCTGCTCGTTAGGTTTTTTTAAATATTTTTCTAGTTTCTTTATACATATTAGCTGATAGGGCCTAGATATTGATGATGAGGTTTGACTACACTGGAAAAAGTACCTGCCAAAGATGACGTGGAATTAGCATCCGAAAAAGTTATCAATTTAAAAGCTGGTGAAGATTCTGCAAAGTTTCAATATTATTGAAGTAGATTCTATTGATTAGGCATAATTAGAAAATAATAACAATTGAGCAGCGTGATATCTGCAAATAAACAATGTTAATGAAATCCAAGACAAATTTTGTAGGAGACAAGAAAATGATTTGTCTGAAAATCGCTTAAGTTTACTACAATTATCAAACTGTCTTTTTCTTTTGAGTATGTGTGTGAGTATGTGTGAATTGGTTTTAAAAGTCATTACATTAATAGCAAAGTCTTGATGTTGCGGCTTTTATGATATGATCAATATCAATTCAATATTGAGCAATATATTAGCTGCTAGAGACATCGAGTAAATATGTTTTAAACAAAAATTGACTTATCTCTAAAGTAATTCTATTAGATCTAGTCTCTGTTTCTTCAAAAATCCTGACCACAAAAGCTTATTCTCTAAAGTTACCGGTACTTGTAGATTAAGGTATCCACGAATAGATTATAACACCTTTTGAAATCAACCCCGATGTGCCGAGCCTTAAAAGTACCAGACTGCGGGAAACACATGTAAAGAAAAGTGATATCTTCAGGACGTTCTACCACAGGATAACACTTTGTTCTGTTTGTGATAAAGCAGATTACACATTTCTAAAATTGCTTAAAATTTTGTTTCCGAACAGTGTCTTATAGCCCACAAGATAATGCGATCAAATTTTCGCCAATTTTAACAATAAAATCGGAGTTGTGGCGGTCGATGCTTAGTTAAACAGACAAATTTTTGAACTTGCTGCCTCGATTGAGTATGTGTGCAGTAAACAATTTAAGAAAAGTCTGTTTGGAATTTGAGCATATCACTCATAGATGTTATGAGGAAAAGGAACAGTTTAACTTTAGAAATGGAAATTTTCAAATTTTCATTTCTATCATAAAAACTAATTCATTAACATTCATTATGTGAACATATAATCAGAGACTTCAGCTCATTCTTTACTCACCTGCGCTTCAATCTTGGACGTGCTTCTATGAAATATTTGTAGTTGTTTGAAAAATTGATGACGATATTTCACAGTATTTTAATCAATGCATCTAGTTGTTGCAATGTAAACTTTTAACAATCCATATGATTTTCCTCCAACAGGACTCTGATGCTAGCAGATTACACAGGAAAGAGACTCGGGGAAATAGCCGAGGTAACGACAGGAAGAACTCATTTTCAAAAGGTGAAAATTACATCAGATAAATAAATCTGACTAAATTCTAATCGTGTACGGTTTTTTGTAGATAAATGCTAGCATTTCAACCATATTTTCAGCAGTGGCAGTGCGAGGTACTGTATAGAAGGTAATGGGCGTGGCCAGTGAGACTACGCCCGTTTTGCCTCGTTTCAATGCTTTGTACCCGGTTAATTTTCCTTAGGAGATATGCTCTACCTAGCACTTTTCAATCCGTTTTTAGAAGAAATATGTAGATCATGTTTTGCCAAATTTGGGAGGAGGGGGGGGGAATTGTCCCCTCCATACCCTTCCTTGGCGCCGCCACTATTTTCAGTTTTAAGCTCTTTCTATCTGTATTTCAGGGACGAACTTGGTAGAAGTAGCATTATCAAAACCCCACAAATAGATAGGAATATTCACTAACCAGCTGTCAGGAGATTCACAAGACCCGTCAACATTCTTTGAAACACATAACGACTTTGACCTGTGTTGTGTTATTCTTTTCTTTCGTTACTTTCACAGATAGCTTATCTAAGTATCATATGAAACAAGTAAAAAGGTGTCTTAACATTTTACATTATTTTTCAAAAAATGCAAGCTTGGTTGATTACGACAAAAAGTTTCCTATTCAAAAGATTTCAACGAAAAATCTTTGCACTTTTTCTCTGCTACCTATTTTATGTTTTATTGTCGTATGCATCCAAAAAAGCGCACCAAATATTGATATGTTTGAGGCTGCTACATAGGACGTTGCAAAAACATTACTTCAAGCCTCTTTTCAAGCGACATACCTTGAGGTATTAGTACTAATGCATTCCAGTTTTATCTATTCTATCCGCTGTAAAATCTGCAAAACTTTTATGTAAACGATCTAATGACACAGCCTAATGCAAATGTTTTCGTTAATAACACAGCCTAACACATGTTATTTGCAGGATTCATATTCAACAAGGAAGCATCTCATCAATACCAAATATTTTGAATGCTCAAAGTAATTTGTTTTTGTAAGCTTAGTGAAGTTAGGGCTTTGAAATGTGATGGCAACCATTCTTATAGAAGCTACTTACTGGTTTCATAAAATTAAAGCAAAATATTTAAAATTATGCTCTCTTTCTTTACAAGATGGAATAAAAGTGTTATTTAAAAGTCAATTATTATGATTAAATCAACAAAAATAGTCAAAATTGAGCAGGTGGTTATTATTAATTTTCTAAGGCACGACTTTTTGGATATCGAAATAGAAATTACCAATTTGAAAGACAAACCGAAGCCGAAAGTTTAAAGCTAGATGTGTTTATGTGTGCATAGATAAGATAAGATTGGCTCAATGTGCAATTCACGGTGGATTCACGGGCGGGAAGCCAGGGACAACCTTCTAGATGGGAGGTGGTGCTAAAGGCCTTAAACTGTAGCATAGTGTATAAAGCAAAAAAATAGTTTACAAAAATTGTGCAACTTTACGTTTCTTGTACAAGATTGAGTCAGAAGATCGTTGTTAGCCCCCGCTGTGCAATTTTTAAGTTCGGACGATTTTGTTAGACTCTTTTTAGGTCGATTTAAAGGGTTTGAGGTCAAATTCAAAGACTGTAAAACGTATATAAAGATAGGGCAAAATGTGATAATTGTGGGTATAGTTAGTTTAGGCCGCCACCTTGGATGGTGGCAAGAAAAACTTTAGATTATACTAATCCAAGGATGGGCAGAAAGTGGATTTAAAATAGAATTTGAGGGGAAAAGTCCAAGCCTCCAAGGCAATATTCATATTGCAAGATTTTTCAGAACCAAGTTCTATAATTTTATCAATTCTAATGTTGACATGAAAAAGGAAGGGTCTTAGAAAGAAAATACAGAGCAATCCCGATAGAACGAGCCCCGGATATAGAAATATTCAAGGTATTACGAACTAAATATCTGGTCCCTTGGATTCTGCCAGACAAAGTCCTTACAATTTCTCTCGGTGTAACGAACCCCGGATATAACGAGCTCTCGTTATTGCGAACAAAATTGTTGGTCTCTTCATCATAATAGCCCTCGACATACGAACTTTTCATCTGTTATTTTGATTTACTTCTTTCCGGTGTTCATTTATCATTTTCTCTCAGTGGTAGTCGTTATTGTCATCGGTAAAGCATACATCGGAAAACATGCAAATTTTATGCTGCAGAAAAAGGAGATGAGATGCGGGCAAAATTTAACACCTTTTCAAGGCTTCATGACATTTCAGCAAAAAAGCCAACACTCAGAAAGCCAAATTGTAATGGGTGATAAACAAGATTTTCATTTTTGATCACTGACAGTTATCAAATCGGAATCCAGCTTGTTCGTTTTGACCAAAATATGCACAGAAGTAGGGGATAGCTTAAAAAACCCCACTAAATGGTTTTTGATGCATGCACTGCGAAAAGAACTAAAAAATTGTCTCCCGGTTTAGTAAACTCCCAATATAGTGAACTGTTTTCTGGCGCTTTTCAGATTTCGTTATATCGGGATTCCGCTGTATTTTTTAGGAAAGAGCATTTCGCGGTCCGGATGGTATCTTGTTGCGGGCCGGAGACTATACTAAGAATGACTGCTCTATAAACTCTATAGCTTTTATATACATGGTACTACAATATGTATTATTATAGATGCTTATAGCCCTCATTATCATATCAGCCCTACATTAGCTGGTATTTTCCCAGATGGGTCAATAAGATGACTGATTGGTCAACACATGAATATGTTATTCTATCGCTCTAAATTTGACGTGCACCTGGACTTTAGATTTCTTCTTGCTTTATTTGTTATTAATTATCTGAAATTTATACTCTGGTGGTTTTCCGATGAAAAGTGCTTTATTAGGTTTTTCACAATTTTCCGTGCTGTTTTCCTACTAATCAATGCTTTTTGTCATTCACGCAATTTTTAAACTCAATCTTTCTGGTATATTTATAGGCCATATGTAAAAGAAGATCAGCTTACTATGATGTCTTTGATGTTAGCAAAATTTATCTTGATAAGGGTATATTAGCAGGTGGCCAGCCAAAAGCTAGAGGCCATTTAAAAGAGCAAATCCCAAAGACAAAAAGCACCATTTATTGAAATTATTTTTGAAAAAAAATTAATTTCTGAAAGATATTTCAGAGGCCACAGTCTCCTTACAAACTTGAAAATCCGTAGTCCGTAATCCGTAGTCGAAAAAATATGATTGATTTCCCCAAATCAAAAAGGTGATTAACAAAGCCAAAGTTTTGTAATGAATCAAGATAACGATTAAATTAATGCGCATTCATATTGATTTCAAGAAAGGTGCTTCATCTCTCGTTAGAAATGTTTCTCTAGCCTGCCCTCACAAAAACGAAGAAACAAATCATAATGAGTTAAGCTTTGTAACCTGCCCTGGGCCTCAAGCAAAACTTTCGCCAATGGAGAGGTGCAAGCTCGTTGAATGCTCATGTTTGTTGATTGGTGGAAATACCTAGTCATAATTGGTAGAAAATATCGATTGGTTGCGTTACAAAACTTCAAAAGACTAACATTTAAAATAATACTTTTAGGGACTTTTTACATGCCTATTTGCTTATAAAAAATGTATTAAAATCACCAGGCGTTTCATTTTCTAAAGGTCCTTTTTGTAAGATTTTGCTAATATTTGCCAATCAATACAACAAAAAGTAAAATCAAAATATGGATTTTTTGGTTTTTCGTTGAAAATTGATTAGGAAGTTGACAGGTGTCCAGTTTTTCGTTATTTCACATGTACCGATCTCAATATCGTTCTAGAGAAACAAGTTCTCTTTGCAAGTAGAAGGAAACAAAACAATTTATTGATAGAATCTATTATTAAAGCAATTTTCATTACGTTGGATTTAAAAATCTATTAACGAACAATTTCTTTGTGAAAAGGTAAAGGAAGCCCTTTTCTTCTCCAGGTGTTTTCTGATCTCTTGCAAAACGATTCATTAAAGATTTTCAATGTAAATGGCATGGAACTGATCAAAGAATTTTCAAAGGAATTAGAGCGACAGGTTGAGTCGAAAAACGCTGTGCTCACGGTAGGTCTTTGAACATGTGTTATGTTAACATCGAACTTGTGTTACTCCATGTAAGAACGAGCATTTTACTGGCAGTAACAATCTTTCGTCGATTAAAGGAAGACCGTAGGTTATGGCTGATTGTCGATTCCCTTTTTAGTGATATGCTGCTTTCTAGATTCTTTGTATGATAGAATCAATTTCTAACATACTCTTGTAAGCTCATTGACACTGCTATATGACATTGCTCTCCACATATTTGAATAGGTGGTAACGGGAATCTCAGGCAACGCGAAGAAGGGGATCTGGGGGCTAGAGCCTCCCACTTTTGGCCGAAAATGCAAAAAGGCTAAGAAATGAACCACCAGTCAAGCCTTTCATTCTTTCCCCCCCCCCCTTCCACCAACTTTTTTCACATTCCACTTTTCTCAACGCTCCATCATGGTGCCTGAATTCTACACCTGTCTCTAGAGTTAACTCAACAAAGTTTTAAATTTAGAAAGTTAAAAGAAAAGCAGAAGAGTACTACCAACCAAACGAGAACTCCAACAATAACGACGTAAGTAGAGCAGATATGTCTATAGCTTTGTTCTCCTTTTAACAATTACAGGGTGCCATCGCCTGATTAGTAAGTTACCAATATATAATTATGTAAAACAGTCACCAATGTACGATTGTAGCTCTTCATATTTTGTTTGTATGACACACACGTGATTACGACCTATCACTAACAGAAAAGTCTCTTCGGGCAGTGTCCTGAAATTAGTGAAGTGAAGATATGAATGCTGTTTGTGACATAGTAAGCGCCTGTGCATGAAAAATATTGAAACATGATTAAAAAAGGAGCTAGTGAGCTAGCAATCTTCTGAATTTATGACTAAAAATTGTTTAAAAAAGTTATTCAAATATGTTGAAAATAAGCTAGGGCAGGGAATTCAACATTTTGATATAAGATGATATATTGTTACTTCTCTTTTACTTTCTAAAAGACTTTATTAACTGATAGAATAAGCAGCATATAGAAGTTTTTTTCACGAATATCATCTGAAAGCCAAACTGCAAGTCCAACACAGCCATTATTAATTCAGTCTATTTCAATGCCATTATAAATTCTAGTTACAGTTTTTCAATATGAAAGATTACAATGCATCCGGACGACCGATTTTGAAAGTGGATCCAAAGTTCTTTTCAGTGAAGCCAGTGAACACATCTTTGAGTGGACATCATATACCAACAAATGTTTACCCCAGAAGTGAGTGAACTTTGGTTTGAATGTGCTTATATACCAACGATTTATTTTAATCGTGTAATCGTGTCAAAGATGCCTCAAAGGAGAGCCATGCTGTAGCAAATCATTTTTAGCCGTCACTACATCAATAGAATATTACATTTTTCGTTTTACCTATCGTTATTCTGAGAAAAAACAACGGAAAGGAATTTCAGTAGACCCAAAGCAATGTGGGATGGTGCAAAATGCCGAAGAAGTAACTACCTATCCCAGCATCATTTTGTAAGAACAATATAAATTTTGCCTGGCTGGGATGAATTTCAATATCTCGAATAGGTGTAATGGAGATCGGAAAACTAATTTAATTTATGCTTTAACATGATTTCAACCATATAAATGTACAGTAGTAGGCTGACATAAATGTGCTGAGCTTTTTTTCTAGCTTGTTCATTATTTACGTTCATCATTTACTGTTGCTGTTATAGAATCAAACCTAATTCAAATTAATAAATACTGTAAAAGAAAAATCACGTCAATCAGTGGCTTGATATTTCTCTGTGCTTCTCAATGTCTCACTCAGCAATATACACGTAGTTGTACTGTTCAAGTTTATGGGTCAGCCCTCTCTGTCAGCATTATAGCATTGTCAAGTTATAAAGACTTGTCTTTAGAACTTTTGAATCTTGATGTTATAATCTGAAAGAACATCTAACAGATTATAAACATTTTCACAAATCAGCTGACACTGGCTTCTCTTCCCTATTGAATCACTGATATGGGCTTTTGGTTTTAAGATCTATGAACCCTTTCAAAACAATAGTACCCTATTAGCAAAACGCAATTCTTTTTTTTGCCTTGTTTCAGCTATAGTGTGACAGATTTGTTTTGAAATATTCCGAGGGTGAGAACCTTTTCTCATAAATTTTCTTCAGATTTTTTTACTACCAATTACATTATGCTCTCATTAAATCGTGACCCTTTGTTAAATTTTACTTTTTAAAAAAATAAAAAATGCAGTGGGGAAGCGTTACTTCTGAGATGGAGGGTTAATTTGAAATCATAAGAAACGTCTTTTCTTTACCTAGCAAGAGAAGAATAAAGACTTTAAAGTCTTCTTCAATTTCTTTATTTCAGAGCCTGCTATTTTGAACGTGATAAAGCAAAGGCAGAAGCTGGATAAAATATATGAAGACAACTATAGGGAGCAATCAAATCTTTTATGGCAGTACATAGGATCTTACAATGGAGTTTTAAGCATGTACCCCGGTAAGAAGATTACGTTACATATCTCCCAATGCAATCATTATGGGAATCAAAACTGGTTGCAATAAATTTTTACACATCGGCATATCACAAATTCAGCTCGGGACCTGAGGCTAGGTCTCTAACTTAACTGTAAATAAACCTGAAAAACAAGATTAAGAAAAAGCCGACATTTTTTAAAGCTATTTTTATAAATTTTGATGATTACTTTTTATCTCAAAGAAAAAGTTTTGTTTTCTTAAATCGGATTCAATAAAATTGAAAAATTCAGTCAGATATTTGACTATTTCCTTTTTGAATGCTTAACCTTATATGATCATTGCATTATGAAAGAGCTTATTTGAATCCTTTCTGAATACAGCTTTTTAGTGCCTCTAAATCAATTCACACTGTTTTGCCAGCTGCACATCTAAAGAAAGGGTGTGGTTATCAAAGATAATTCAATGATTTTGAAATATGGCTTGAATCTGCTCCTTTTAGTGAGGGTTGAATGTAAAAGCCGGAATAGAAAGAAAAGTTTTATGCTTCAGTGCTGCGGTTTTCTATAAAGCTAACGTTGGATAATTCTTTAAGATTTATGAATAATTTTTGCATAATCTGGTCACGAAATTAAAAATTTATTTTAGAGCTTTGCGGTGACGGTGAAAGGACAGGGAGCTTTCCGATGTTTTATTTTCGTAGCCTTTTCCCTTGCATTTTCTCTTCTATTTTCTATGTTAATAATATGTATAAAGGTAGATTTTCCATGTCATGCATTTCAGATTGTTGCAAGACCCCTCAATCCAAAATCTTAGACCCTGTTCTATCGTTATGGTTGGAAAACACGTTGAGAGCCATGGTTGTGAACCCTAAAACGTCACTGAAATGTTTTCGAAACTTCTACAGACAAACCGTGCTCTTTCAGAGCAGCTTATATACTGTATATCGCACGGACACGGTATGTTTCTTGACCTAATACATTCTTCTTTCATAGGATACGAGTGGGGCAACCCCCCTGACAGTGATCGATATGATTGCAGAAGGAGAGGATGGTAGGTATCACTCAAAGACATTGAAAGTGTAACAGGAATCTAAAAGTGGGCATAAACTCCATTTTCGAAGTTGTATTTTAAAATTATACTGATCACAGAAATTTCAATATTTAGATACTGTCAAAGGTTAAACGATTTCAAAGTCATGGTCGCAAAACATGTCACAAAGCCCATTTTGACCCCCCACGGCTCTCCAAATATCACTAAGTTTATTCGGAAAGATTAAAATAATACTTCGCTGTATTAACGTATACAAATTTTCAGCTCGAATCATTTTCATAATAGATACTTGTGGTAGAAATCTACTTTGTAGTATTGCCACATCGTTATTATATTGAAATATATTTGACGAGCAAGTCAAAATTGCGAACAATATTTACAGAATGTGTGAACTAGAACTAACGCATGCGGAAAGGGACGGAGTAAATTCAAAGGTTTAGAAAAGGCATGTATCTGGTTTATCTTTTATTGAGTACTGGGCGAGGGAAGGGAGGGGAAATCACAGAACGAAGCATTAAGATGTGATTGATATTCATGGTTTCATCTTAACAGGTATACAACAGGATCAAGCTCTGCAAAAGACGCTGTTATTTTGCTGGACAGGTTGAAAAATTCACCATTTGAACCCGATTAGTCTAAATTTATCTTGTCACGTCATAAAAAAGGTTGCCTAAGATGATTTGAATGATTTTCCTTGAATTGTTCTTGATCTGTATCCTTCAAAGATATACTCTATCAATGTTGTCAGTGCTTCGAGAAACAATGCAAAATATTAAACTCATACGAAATTATAAATAGATAGTGGGATATAAGAAACAGCCTTTATAATGTGGTACAATTGCCCCTCCAGTCCAAGTGACCTTCCATTGTCCTCTTTGTTATATAAAGAACTGCCTGCACCGCAGCTAATTTCCTTTCGAAAAGGCTATATTATGTAGCGGTATGTTTTCCACCTTTCTACACCTTTTTGTGCCAAAAGTTTTATGTTTTTCTGTCATAATCCTTCTACATCATTTCATCATTGAAGGAGTGGTAGCATGGCTGGCACCAACTGGAAAATAGCAATAGCTTCAATTAATATCATCATAGAATCTCTGCAAGAAAACGACTTTTTCAACGTAGTTCAAGTAAGTTAAACTTGCAGCAATTGATTGTTTCTTTTTCTCTGCAAGTTTTTTTTTGATGTTGTGTTAAAGATATTGCTAGCTATTAAGGCTTATTATAAATTGAAGGCTTGATTATTGTTTCCATGTTAAATTTTGCCAGTTCAAAATATCAGCTAGTTTTGTTGGCTCTCCTTGCTCTCCCACCCTTATGGCAGCATTTCAAAAAACAGAGACTAGATTCGTTGCAAAATTTTGCCCGAGCACGATCATCCACTTTCACAAGGGTCAACGAGACAGGGGCAAAGTTGCAAATCTCCCCGAGGCCTCGAAGTCTAGTAAGCTTCATAAAGAAATGAATTCAATTTTTAGAAATGGGATGAATCAGACGTATCAGATGTATGCATAAAAATAGTAAATCATTTTAATCGACTGCATGAAAATGACCGCAAGAAAAGGTCTGTAAGACATTTTTAAGCTGATCTAAACGGGATGGCCGCAAAATTCTTCTCTCGCAAGGCGCCTCGCCTTTCAGCCCCCCCCCAGGGCTTTCAAAACCTCTCGGCAACCCTGCTTTTTACTCAATAACAAAACTATAATGATGTATTTTCTCCGGCAGTTCAACTCAAATGCAGCTGTTGTTCATGATTGCTACAAAAACCTTGTACAAGCAACCAAAGCAAATCGAGAGGTGTGTAGAACTTATATGATAAACTCCTTGATTACTTGAGCACAAGTTTCTAAATATCTCGTCTTGAAAACTATTGAACGTTTTACCCCTTCGTCACTTTTGCTTGCATGGAAATTGATTCTGGATAATCTAGTCATTTCGACGTTTAAAATAACCTTTTCTACAATCCATTATGAACAGGGGGTAATTTTCATACTTTTATACAAGAACATTGTGGCTCAGTTAAAAGAGTATTTATTCTCAAAATGTGAGGTCCCAAACATTGTCACAGAAATGAAAAGTTGTTCTTAATACTTGTGGTAAACACTAACTGATACTCTTTTGCAAGAACTTTGTCCTTCTTGAAGTCATATCTATCGAATTGGGTTAAAGTGTTTGCTACAATTTTAATCCAGACCCAGAATATTTAATTCATAATCTTGCAAATCATAGGCCTCAATCGAGGTTTTGTAAAATCTACAGCCATGAAAATTTACATTGACCTGCTTCAAAGAATGGTAGGCAGCACCCCGCAACCTTGGACATGTGAATTAGCCAATACTAGTATAATTTCTCCGAACAAGTTATTGTGAAGATTAAAGAGTAGTAAAGTGTCAGATATTTATAACATTATTTCGAAACATATCATCTTAAATTTAAGTTAAATGTCGTTTTATCCATATACAGAGAATTTTGACCATTTCATGGCTAAAAAGAAAACATTTCCTATCTTACAGGCAATATTAAACAAAGTTGCCAAGTTACCAGGTCCTTCAGGGTACGCTAATGGGAAGAAAGCTCTAGAGAAAGCATACAAACTGTTGCAGGTAGTTTATTGGCATTCAACAGTCTGTAAGATCTGAATCAAGCGCTCTTCATTTGAATTGTCTGTCTTGTAAATAACATTCGACAGAAAAAATATTAACTTGCAAACCATAATAAGTTCAAAGTTGGATTTCTTGCAAATGCTCATCAGAAGATTGCTATAGAAAAGTTTTTGTGCACTTCTAAGAAGATCTAAGTGATGGTAAAGCCATCAATTGAAGGAAGGATTCCCAAAAAAGCAAAAACGTAAATAATTAAAAAGATAAATCAAACAGATGATTGGAACTATACCTAACTGACGTATTTAGAGAAAATAAACCCAAGGCAGAGTTAAGTTCCAATCGTTAATCAGTTTTACGTGCTATTTATTTTAAGCCTTGATTAACAATTTTTCCCACGTAAAGCTGCATAGATTGTCTATATTCAATTTAATAATTAGCTGAAGCTAGGCCTAACTAAAGGGTTCTTTGAATGGTACTTTTAAAACTGCCTAAATATTAGAAAAACGTAATCTGATGTTATCCAAAATACTTATTTATTTTTTTATTTCAATGGTCTGATGCTGACAGGAGGCTAGTAAAAGTGATTTAACCAGCTCTGGGTGTCACCAAGTTGTTTTCATTATATCTGATGAAATTGAAGATTTTGAGGATATGAAGAAGGTTTTGGAAAAGCACAGTGACATGAAGGTAGGCCATTGGATGCAATTACAACATATGAGCAAAAGCTGAGACATTTTCTAAGTAAAGTGAGCAACTAATAACTAACACTTTCAAAAGCAAACAAGGTATTGTTTTGTTCGAATAAGTAATCGTAATTGTAATTGAATTGTTTTACTTTAACTGTCCTGCGTTTGTGGTACTGTGAGGATCTTTAGCCCTATCCAGACCGGGCTTTTTGATCTGCTAGAAGATTAAGGAGGGGCTCATCAAACTACCCCCCCCCCCCGACTCTAGAATCGTTGTTCCTTGGTCAATGTTGACAAAAATCACCATAGACATAGCAGAGGTTATGATGTATCCTTTTTTAAGAAAAGATGTCCAAAAATAGAAATGACGTCATAACCATTCAAGACATAACAAAGAGAGTACACAAAAATTTTGTCATAGTCAAGGTCACGTAAAACACGGCTGAACTTTTGTACATAGAAAAATAGAAAAGACCATACTTATTATGAATATAAGAGGTAACAAAGATTATATTAAATGATTATTAGATGAACCCGAGTTCAGTGCATCAAAAAAATCCTTAAATGTTTACCTTGATCGCTGTGAAAAAAATAGCCAAATTCCCCCCAATTTAATTCTTTTTAATTTTTTTAAACAAATTCACACTTCATATAGATAGAAACTAGTCAGTCAAAAAGCAGCGCGCTAGTTGAGTCTACCAATGTGGAGCACTGCTCGATTAAGTAAGTGGAGGGCTGAATGAGCCCCCTCCCCCCAGTCTGGATAGGGTTAAATTCAAAACAAGGTTTTTTTCTGTTTGAAATAGCGCTTTTACTATAACTTCAATGAAGAAATTTTCCAAGACTAAACAGTTTGTTTAAGTTTAGGTCGATTCTACAGCAATTTATTTTCTACTCGTGCCCTTGACCACTGGTACCAATAATGCATGTTGCAAGGTGATCCGAAAACCCAAAGTAGGAGTTGTCATCATATTTTAATATCTATCTCTTTTAGGTTAGGATTTTTGCATATCAAATCGGACGTGGATCAAAAAATAAAAAAGCCTTACAATACATTTCCTGTAAATCATTGGGTAAGTTCTTAGCAAAGTAAATTTTTTCTTGCCATAGCTTGTCTAGCAATATACGTATAAGAATCTTATGACCTTAAAAATCATTATATTTATAGAGAATAAAGGAAACTTGTGCATTGTCCCTTATACTAAGAAAATGTTTCCTCTATAATGTGAAAATTTCATTTTGTTTATTCGTCTTCTCCATGAGCAGATGATATTATTTAGGTAGCAACATTGATGATATTGATGATACTGTTAGACAACTTTGTGTAAAAGCTTACGCTTGTCTTTGAAGGCCAATTCTTTAGACTTGAGACGATTGGCAATGCATACGACTTTGTGCTGGTAAGGTCATTCTGCTTTTTTCTATCTTTTATATCTCTCAGGCTTTCTATCTTGCTTTCTATCTTCTCTTCCACTTGATTTTTTCCTTTCTAGTTGTTTTTTTAAATCTCAGTGCTAACTGGTTTAGGCCATGCATGTCTACTGCAAAAGTAGCCTTGACAAATAATAAACAGAAAAATGTTCTTTGGATAATATTCGACATTGTCGATGACTGCAATTTGATCAATAATGTCCCAATTTGATCAAATCCTTAAAAATGTTCATTAAAGATGGCTTTGAATGAGTAAAACACAAATTATTGAGCTATTTATGCAAACGTAGATGATTGGATTTCATCCATAATTTTCTGATAAAATTTGTTAGTAGTAACAAACACGGTTTATCCATTTCTTAGAATTCAGATGCCCAGAATCGTTTCCCCCGGCATCCCCTTTTAGAGGAAAATAATTGAAATTTTGTTTCTTTCTGTATTCTCTGAAATAGCCTGGCAGCGATTGAGGTAGCATGTAGAATGAAAAAGACTAAGATCACTTCAACCATAATTATAAATAGTGACTTTTGGAATCCAAGAAAGCTGCCAACATTATGTTTCTATTTGAAGCATAAAACTTTGAAAGATATCACACATCTGTGTTACTTATCTTTGTAAAATGTTGTTTCTTTGATCAGCATACGATTGATGATTTGTTTATATGTTTAAGAAGTTTAAGAAAAGTATTTATATGATCTGTGTATTGACAGGACTATGTGAGAGTTCTTGGCACTCCGATTGCGCTGAGCGGTCAAGCAGTGGGAAATGTACCAATCTATGTCCCAGTTTATATTGACTGGGAGGTAAGTTTACACAATGCGTTATATACTTATTGAGCAATTATGAGACCAGAGTTACTGTTGTATGCAGATATCTGTTTATACGGTGCTGCCACTTGATAAACAGTCTTACGAAGACCAACGATCAGGATGAATATTCCAAGCATTAAATGGCAATAGATTGTCTGAATTTTCGCAAATACAATGGTTTTCCTTTTTTCCTGTAGGTTTTTGGTTTTAAATGAATTTTGAAAAAAGAAAATTTTATCAAAAATCAATGTTTTGAAAGAGATTGTATCTCCCCACCTCTATAGAAATTATCATACGGCTTTTAAATGTATTGTTTTTATGCCAACATTAAACTTGTAAACTTCAACTTGTTTGATATTGATTTTATATTCTTATTATTAAAAGCCAGAAATCTTTCTACTCAATTATCTCTCACTTAAAACTTTACCAACTTTACGATTAACTTTCAATTTCCCGGCGTCTGATGTGGAACAATTGTTTTGATTTCCTCTTAAAAACCTTTTAAATGACCAGTTGTTGATTACTTCTGCATGGTACTAAAAATAATATTTGTAATGACTGTTGATTCTTTTAAACAGACAAGGCTGCCAATATTTTCAGTGGTTTTACCAGTTGTGAACAATACAAAAAATTCAGTAAGTAATGGATGGAAAATTGTCTGCCTTTGTTATTCATGCTATAAAACGCCAAATAACAAAGCCAAAACTCCTGCAAAACCTATTATTAATGTTAAGCAGAAGAGGTGATCATGAACTCAGTTTTATAAACAAAAAGATAGGAGACCAATATGGAGCTTAACTCGAGCATAAGGGCTCTGTCTTGTGGGTTTCTGCTAAATTTCTAAATGACTTACAGCAAAATGAATCAATGTTTTGTAAAATATAACATAAATTATATTTCCACATCTAAATTGGTGTGTTTGAGATGGTATTTTCCAACCAGAAACAGTGGCCTAAAATTTATTTTGCTTGACGTTATAAAAAGCTTTCTCTGCTAATCTAAACTTACATATCCATTATAAGATACTTAGGCGGTAAAATAGTATTTGAAAAACTGCAATTTTACTGCAACTATGCATTGTATCTTTAACAGGGCTTACTCGGGGTTGCTGCACAAGATATCACATTGATCGAGCTTGAAAATACAGTCCCTGTACACAAGGTTTGTAATTTGGACTCTAAAACTCAAGTAAGGATTTCAGTATACAAGCTAAATTCTACAAAGGAGTAGAATGCTTTGCTGTATGTACTAGGTTAATTTCCATATCAACTTGGCAAAAGACAAAGATGGAACAAGATTTCATTTTTACCAGACTCCGTTGCAATGAAACCTGTTTTTAGGATGAATATGAGAACCAACAGGGCAAGAAAAAATGTAAAAAATAAACACGAGTACTTCTCCCCTGATATAAAGCACAGTAGATGTACTTGTTTATTTATACAAAACATTTGATCATCAACCGCAAGCCACCCCTCCTTCCACTGCCAAACCACAGTGACCATGCCAAGAAGTATAATTACTTCCTACTAAGTAACATTTTTCAGGCTTCCTTTATCTCTCTAAGGCCACCGAGAGGGGGAGCAAGGGGGCAAAGTATGCCTTAAAATAGTCAAGCGTTATGAAATATTGCAAGAAATGATTAAAAATATATAATGAAATACATTTTTATTAATTTAAGGGCGTGGTCGCAAAAATTTTCCGCTTGCAGGGGGCCTTGTCTTTCGATTTTGCCCCAGGGCCTCCGTAATCTCTCGGCGGCCTTGCATCTTTCTGCCTCATTCTTTTCGACGTTGCTGATATATCAAACTGATTCTGTCTCTTATACCTCCATCTCAACCTCTTCAATGCATTTTCTCTTAAACCAATGTTACCCTCAATGTATGCATTTAGAAGCTTAATAAATCTTTGCAGTGTTTGTAAAAAAAGCACACAGGAGTGATTACTTATGTCATTTACTTACACGTTGGTGAATCATAAACACACCAATTATTTGGTCTTTATTTAAGATAAAATAATCACAGATTAGAATTTTTACTGTAATACATGGTAACCTTTTAATTTTAGCTTGGTGTCTATGGCTACGGATTCGCTGTCAACAACAATGGCTTTGTGTTATTCCATCACCGACTCAGCTTTCTACAGGTTAATTTCTATCAAGTTTTGGTTTGCAAATTGAACTTACATCAAGCAAATCTTAAAAATGGATGCCTGGTCAGAGATGTGCTACAAATATCTGGGAATCTTTTTTGCCATTCGTTAGGGAGATCTAAATGAGAAAGGTAGACTGTTTCCTGCTACAAAGTCATGGTGGTTTGAAATTAGTATATAGGACAATTCTCCAAATTCATTTTACGTAAAATATTCCTTAGTTACTGGAGTCGTTCTTGAAAGTTCGCAAGATTTCAGGGATTTACGACTTAAAAAGAACATTTCTTTTAGCCTTATGGCACATCCACCCACATTCAAAGATATCTGGATAACACTCTCTCGTCCAAGTCTATGAATTTGAAAACTTCGAAATATTTCTTAGTACTTGTGTTTGCCCAGTGCTGCAAATCTAATAATGTAAGCAAATGAAATTTTGTAAAGGTTGCTGCTCGGTTGCATTTCCTAATATAAAATAAACTTGAACGATCTAATCCGACTTTACTTTTCTAAAAGAAAACAGAAGACCAAAGAAGACTCCCTCCGCGTGCTTTTAGCGAGACTGTTCAACAAACTAACTGAAAACATGCTTTGTACCAACTCAAGAATTGGAGCGTTAGCTGAAAACAAAATGTGTTTTTCGTTAATGTCATTAAAAATTGTTTGGTAGAGTTTACTACAAGAATATGGACGTGTCCAACACCCCTATGAGCATTGAAATTATGTTTTTTATTTACTTAAACTTAATTGAATTAAAGATTAGCATTCTCTAATGGTGTATATTTACCAAGAAATTCCCCTGTAATAAAAACAGATTGGACACCAATTTCAATCAAAATTTATCGACTTGTACACTTTTACTAATATGAAAGAGAAGAAACTGATACTGATTCTTTTGATTCTGATATGTAAATCGAAACTGATTCTTTTGCATCAAGATATTGGTAATTTTAATGCTACATTAGTTCTTCACAGCTATCACAATTATTTACATCTGAAACCATTATATTTTGCAAGTTTGCACGAGAGGTCAACTCTTATTTTAATGCTTTTGTATTTACATTTGTAGCGGGTGAATACATTTTCACCAACAACAACTCTTGAAGCAGTCGAGTTTAACAACAACAACAAATCCACTGTGGTAAGTCACTTGGCAACTGATTCGACTGATGATTAATAATCATTTACAACTTTATGTCTTCTATGGTAAACAATAGATAAGCTTGTCCTTTCCTCTTTCTCTTCTTAATCTCACCTCCATTTCCGTTGTTAGGGCTTAGCAATATGAACTTGAGCATTTCCCTTGCATCATCAACTAAAAAAAAACAGTATCCTAACTAACTAGCAAGAGGAAGAGAGGGGTGTGAGCGTGTTTACCTTAATTCCTCTTCATCGTATGGACCCTATCTGTATTCATCATCAAAGTCAAAGAGAAACCAAAAAGCCTAAGATTGACTTTCTTAAGTACATAGTTAACCAATAAAGCACACTAAATTCAAAATGATAGTATTTCTGATACTATTTCTGTTTTCCAAGCTGACGAAGAAAATGATTGATCGCGAAACTGGGAGTTTAGAGGCAAGGGCAACGATTCTGATCACCCCAGATAAAAAGGTTTGTTTATAGTATCCCTGGTAATGTTATGGCTAGGATATTGAAAAGTCTACGTAAACAATGAAACTACATAAACTTTGATAAAACTATTTTGATAAGCGTTAAAAAACATATGATCAAGATGATAAACATATGAACTTCTCTGCTTTTAAGGCTCAAGTTTTATTTTCAAAAACAAAACAAACATGATTATTCATCCTGATCTGTTTTTCCACACAAATTGTAATTATAACATTGTTTATATGCAAGAAAAATTTTAATTTGAATTAAAGTCATTTATTGTTTCTTCCATAACACAACACTGTCTCATCTAGATTTTCTTTAATAGGAAAGGACATTGGAGACAAATATATCGTACTTTTTCATGCCTGTTAAGAACACCCCTTTCACGTACGTTATGCTTGATTAATTTATGTTTTTGCATTTACTCGTATGTCAAAAAATTATGTTTCTTATCTAGAAACAAATGACAAATATGATCTCTAAAATGCTAGGAAATCGGTTATTCTATGACAGGATCCTGTTTGCTCTTGTATATATAACCAATACAACAAATTTCTAGGTAAATATAAAAAAAGTTTATCAAAATTTTAAATTTTTCTGCTGAGCCATCATTGAAACAGTTCAACCAAAATACAATCCCGAGAAGGAAGCTGACGGAAAACTTGTCTATGAACTAGCCATTCATAACAAGGGCTTAAACATGTTTAAATTTAAACTGGCTGTTTCAAAAGTGTATCTTTTCTGATTCTAATTTCTATTTTTGTAGAGCTGGTATTGCTATCCAAGAATATGGCCTGAAACAGATTAAGACAAGCACACATTTCTCAATTAATTTCTCCGAAGGTATCATTTGTGAAAAGTTGCTTGCTAAAATTACATTTTTCTACAGAAATTTTTCTAAGAAATAGTACATAGTTTTTGGCGGTACAAATTTGAAAATGGCTTTGAAAAATTGTTGAATTTTGCACCGCATAAATGTATGATCTTTTCAAAACCATTTTCAAAACCACTATTAAACTCTTTTCAAAACCATGTTCAATTATCATGAATTTGCTTATCTAGTGCAAGTGACTGTTTAGTTAATCTTTGATTATTAATCTTATTTGAGTTTCTAAGAATACTTTTTTACTACGTTGGTTAATATTTATAAACATGAAACCTAACAGTTAAATTTCGTCTTTAGCTGTGAGAAGCCTTAACTCTACACAAGAGGGGACCAAGATAACTATTGCTCCATGGTCAGTATGGTTTATGTAATTCGTAACAATGTTTTTTTGTTAAAATGGTCGGCACCATTCAGTCATTAAGATTCGATAAGATAGATTCGGTTTACTTTTGGATGCGTTTGATGGCAGTCTGACTATAATCTAAGCAGACGCGTTACGGGTTTGTCGATGCTTTTCGACTGATCACTGATAACAAGGTTTGGTCTCGTATCATATTGAATGTCATAACATGATGACTTAGTTTCATTTCTCGGAATCTCTCAATAAAGACAGTAGGCTTTTACCATCCTCCTTCTTCTAAAAATTTGTCATCATATTGCGCCTTCTAGCCGATACCTAAATTATTTGAATGGTTAATTCATGTGCTATTATTAAAGACAATATTTTCAAACAGTTGATATTGGCATTTTCTTTAACTAAATAAAAATATTCCAGGCCCTACTGCAACGTTACTGCAGAGGCACAAATGAACATGCCAACAATCTACAAGTTTTTTCCGATCAAAAGTGAAATTGTGAGCTACCTTTCTCAGTTCAACGAAACTCCAGCAAACTGTAAGTAGCTTAACATTGCAACCAGAGCGATATTTCTGTTTTATTCTGTCGTATAGCCTGTTGCAAAATCTCATATTTATCCATAAATCTTTTTTGTCCAATTCTTTTGTCTCCTCGGTTTTGCATTTAAGTAGAGATAGCTGGTGGTTAGTGTTGCCTATTAGTAGAAAACAACGCGTAGCGTACCTAAGATTATATTTTATAGGTTTCATACTTATAAGGTTTATAGGTAAAAAATATATACTATCGCAAATCACTTTCATTCAAAAATTTAAGGTGACAAGGAGCTTACAGATAAATTGCTGTTGTCTGCACAAAAGGTTGAAGAAATAGCCTCTAAAAAATGGAATATCACGAGAAATAGAATGTGAGTTATCTAAAATTAATTTGAGAGAATACAGGAGTGTTTATACATTTGCTAATATCTAGTTTATACCCTACATACAGTAAAAGCCCGCGTGTAAGAACCTAAGGATTTAAGAACCCTCTGGCAGAAATTATCTTTTTATACTCCAAAATACAAGAACTTTTTTAGCCAATCAATTTCCAGCAGGGCCTTTTATGAGGGGTTTAACCATAATTTTCACCAAAAGCCAAAATTAAATTGTTAAAATAAAACTCAAAATGCATAATGTATGCTAAATTTAAACTTTTATTATGAAACAATTATTGCTACTATTATATATACAATATTGTATCATTGGTCAATTGTTGGTGGGCTTTTGGCAACATTGGCACAATAATAATTATTTAGATTGAAGAACAGGGCAGGTTTAATGCTATGTTCTGATAATCAAAAACAATATCTACTCTCTTGAATTTAATAACTAGCTAAGAAAATATTTAGCCTAAACTGTCAATAAGTATCCTATAATACAAGAACCTGTTTGCCATACTCTAAAAAAAGGAGGTTCTTACACGCGGGTTTTTACTGTAACGGACATTTCAATTCTGACACAAAATGTTAAAGATTCCGGAATTAATTTCATAACGGTCTTCTTTGTCCATAAATGCTTTTACATGTAATTAAATCTAAACAAAATAATAAAACATGATGAAGAACATTCTAGTAAGGAGACCACAAACAGAAACAAAGAAGTGCTGACTGAATAATATCCATTTCAATTTCAATTTCAGCAATGGCATAATATCTACATTTATATCCACACATTCTGGATACACGAGAATACAGTTTACAAGGTAGAAGTCATAACACCTTGAAGCATGATAAGCAATAACTGAAATTAATAAATCGTTGAAAATTGAAATATTTGCAGCTTTGCAATTACAGCGCTTGCCTTGTTTTAAAATGTGTTTTTAACTTTGTAATTTAAGAAATAACTAATTTACCTTTTCATTATTCGCATAACGATCTTTTCTAAAATATTCTACTATAAATATTTGGTTAACGTTGTTTCCTTAAGCTTTGTTGCACATTTTTTTTACTTGTGATGTGTTTTGACTTTTTCAAAGACAGCATAGGCATATTTCTCCGGATGATAACCAATCAGTTCATGTTAGAACTTTACACTGTCTAATAAAAAATTTGGTTATTGATATTTTGACATTATAGTTAAAATGCTTTTGTCTTTTAGTTTGATTAAAAAAATTTTTAAATAAGAATAAGATAATTTATCTTTGAAATAAGCAAACGATTTAAGACACTCTAAGTTCTTGTTCAATGTTCTGTTTTTATGCTCGAAAAAGTGTCCGACGATGAGCTCAAGCATATCTTTAAAAAGGTTTGCTTTCTCTCAAAGCCATTATAGCTAATACAAGATAAAAGGAAAATGCTCAACTCGAGATAATAACTATCACACATCTCGAGATGCAAGTAATCACAAAAAGTAGGCTGTTGAGCTGTTTAAACGAATCGTTTAGCAGTGTACAGACGTTGCTGCTTATGATTAACAGATTTTCACATTGCCCTTAATGCATAGTAAAATGAACACAGCTAGATACATCGACAACTTTTTGTTAATTGATTTGTAGTGGAAACCGTTCTCTGGGTAATATTGGCAACAAAAGTATCCGTGAAATATTTTACCTCAGAGCTGCAGCGGTTTATAAAGAAGTACAACCAAATTATGTATTTTCTACAGTAAACGTGACTGGTATGTGTAAATCTTATAAGATTAATTGAGCAACATTACCTTCACATACTTCTAATGTTAATTAAAATAAACATTTTACTAATCCATTCATCATTTTAATACAAAATTAAACGAGCTTGAATAATAATAATAATGATAGAATATATAAAAAGATGTAAACATATTATACAGTTGGTAGGTATACATATTTTACATTTCCTTGTGCAATTGAGCTACTTTGAGCTATACTGGCCCAAATTCATACATGGAACAGTCATGCCATCCAGTAAAACAATTATTACATTCCTTCTAAAAAGTGATCTTTTCTGTCTTATTCATGCTCTTTTCTTTCAAGATTGTCCCACTTTCGAAATACAATTAACAGGGAATGTATCATTTATGTCAAATGTTACAGGTCATGATGGAGTAATCGTACTTCTGTAGGTTTTTAAATCAAAATTGTTATTGGTTCTTCATTTCTTCTTCTAATTTTGGACACTTTCTTTGTAATCCATGAGCTTTTGGCTTTACTGTAGATGGAGCACCTAGTTTCTATGTAAAGGTCGTTGCACCAATTGTTGTTGGAAATAAAGATACAATAGCTGCAGGTATGTTTTGCGTATCTTCAAATCCTAAGTGGAAATTAAAAAAAAATGATTGATATAGGAATTTCATTTCGTAACAAGTGGTATATCAAAGAGGCTTTTCGGAAATGGACATGATTAGCCACTTCCCTCCCAATATAACCTCGTCTACAAGAATAGTTTTGCAACATGAATCATACAAGTTTCTGTTGCCAACGACAACAATTAATCTGTTGCCAAAAACAAAACGGCTTCCAGGGTGGAATCTTTTGAACAAGCATCGTTTACAGGTAGATTCAAATCATTAACTAATAATCAGGGAGGTTGAGGTGAATTGAATTATGTAACAACATCCTTATATTTGTTTTTCAATGTTCTAGACAACACTTAAGTTTTAGAAAATTCAAGTTTTTGTCCAAGCAGAATCTGGATTCATTTTTTAGATTTTAGATTTAGATCTTAGATCGTAGATCTTAGATCTTAGATCTTAGATCTTAGATCTTTAGATATTTTTAGATCTTTAGATATTTTTAGATCTTTAGATATTTTTAGATCGTTAAATATTTTTAGATCTTCTTTTTAGATATCCTTCTCTCTGCTTCTATGTTTGATAAAGTATGAACCTACTAAAAAATATTTCAAATTTTGAACTTCAATATTTCAGTAACTGGTTTTACAATGTGGCAGAAGTCTGTTGCAGATATCATTATGAATCCCGAAATTCAGAAGCAAAATCAGGTACGATAACTGAAAGAAAAGTTACTTTTTAATCATGTAGTACTACTTTGTATTACTTGGAAATTATCTCACACATTGGATTAGTGGCAGCACAAAATACAGGAAACATCGTGGGCCGTGGTGCATTTTTGTTGCTGTCCTTTTCTCTTAAAAATAAAACATTATAATGTCCTCTTCAGGCTTTTTAAGAAGAGTCAAGACCTAACAGATATGCGCATGGTAATCTCCAGGCTCCAGGACTATGTACTTTTGCCTAAAGATCATTGTTTATAATTTTCAGCTAGGTATAATCAGTATAACATTTCTCTGCAATAATGATAGAGGAATGCTGGTTATCATGGTACTGCTTATAGCCAAAAGAGAATCTGTGTAGTGTAAGAAGTTTGCACTTTAGCATCAAATGTTAAAGTTATGACAAAAAAGCTAGTTGCATGTTGATTCTATTAACCTTAAGGCGTTATCAATATTAAAAGTGTAACAACTTTTTTGAATTTTTTCTTCCAAACAGGAGCTCGATTGCAGTATTTATTCGGCAAGTACTTTTTACTCCTTCCTTAAAACATTAACAAAATCTAGAGGTTTTTTCTAGACTATTTAATCTTAAAATTTGTTTAGTTATGTCTTGGTTTTTTGTGTTTGTCATTATTGCGAATTAGAGCAGCACAGAAAATACTTTCCGAATGACTTCAATGTTCTTCTCTTTGAATTTTTTTCTTAGCAGCTAGACACAATGGAAACCCTAATTAATCACATCTACTTTACCACTTTTCAAAATAATCAATCAAACATTAATCATGATTTTTGATGATTTTCGGTGATATTAGCTTAAATCTCAAGGCAAAACTCTTATTTGTCATTTCACGCAGATGTTTTTTGACTTTCTAATAAGAGTATGTCAATGATTTTTAAGCCTTGGTACAAAAGAGTCTAAATTGTAGATTACTCGGACAAATTTAAGGAGACCTTTTTTATATTGACAAATGAATTTCTAATCACATTGCTAATCAGTCAGGCCGAATTTGCTTTCCAGAAATTCGGATGTTATTTGATTGATGCTGATGGGTTTGTTGTTGCATGGAACAGCAAAAACCAGTTGGTGAGATTATCATCATACTTTCTGCTAAGCCCCTCTTAACATCTGGCAGCTGGCTATGTCCTGGTTATTCAGCAAACTTAAACACCTTTTCATGTCAGTTTGAGACATTTTTTAAGTACAACCGTAAAGAAGTTTATATTTGGTATGTAAGCATAGGAGCTTTATGGTGCTTCTGAAATAATGACCCTCCACTTTAATTTGTTTCTAGTAGTCCGTTCTTCCCTCAAGATTTACTCTATTGTTGAATATCTAAAATGTTTTTAAATTGAGTTTCAGGTGACGTATTTTTGATTTACAGAAAAACAATTTCTTTGGGTATTCCGAAGGCTTGGTTATGAGGCACTTGGTAGATCAGGGAATTTTCATAAAGTATGTGTATCATTAAAATTATACGTGTATTCATTTAGTCATGAAAAAATATAATAACGATTATTGTAAACATGCATCAGGGATCCAAAGAACCAGCTCTCGTGTACTTCTACTCTTGTAGAAATATAAAAACCTATAAACATGCAGCATTTTGTTCCTTTGATGTGTATGACATAAAGCTATCAAATTAGCCATTGTAAGTTACTTCTCATTTTAATCAGCTTTCTTTTCTTGATTTGTACAGAAGCAAGTTCAATGATGAACAAGCAGAGTGTACACCAGAATTAAAAGTAAATTCAAGTGCAAGTAGAATCAGCAATGTAAGTTATTTCAATTAGATTTCTGTATCGATGACTGTCTTTCTGTGGTATTCTTACAGCATGATTTTTTCTGTTGCATTGTGTCTGAAAACTTTATCAACATAGTTTATACCCTCTCAATTGGTACTATAACTAAAAACTTTCATTTATCAACCCCTATAAATATGTTGACATTGGTATTTTACCTTTATATTGGTATTGATTGGTATTGGTATTTTACAGGTAATTTTTGGCTGTATCTATTGCCTCTTTCAATCAATTTTGATGTAAGTACAGATCAGTCGTAAGAAACCTCCTTTTTCTTACATAGTTTTTTTATAAAACAACAGCAAAACCTGCATATAGGAACCTTTTTTGGTAACAGACTGTAGGGTAAAAATTGGTGCTTTGACCAATGAATTAAGGATCTTGGTCACCATGATTTTTAAAAAAGTTCTTGCTAAAATAATGACGAAAAATTATAATTTGTATTTTTAAAATGTCATTGTATTTTTAGAAAGTCAGGTTGTTTTTAGAGAATTAAGACAAATAAAGAGAATATCATATGTCTTTGAAAACCACAAATGCCTTTCTCCACTGTAAACGTTGTTATAATTATAAGACTGACCATTTCGGTGACTTGTTTTTCCAAGTTCAACAAAATTAAGGTTCTCGGTTAATTGCACAGGCAGTAGTATAGTATTGACGAACCTCATCAATTTTTTGAATCAAACCAAATTACCGTTTCTTGATGCATTCAGCGCAAAACCTGAAGCTGCAACCGCACTGTGCTTTGCACAAAAGCTTGCAAAGCTTTCCTAAACGACATCAACACCTATATGATAGACAAGTTAACATTAATTTTCACTTCTTCAATCAAATTACATCAATCGCCAAAAGAAGCATCAAGTTTTGGAATTTTTAGTTCATATATCCATTGTTTGCTTTCTAGGATGTTTACTTCAGTCTTTTATGGATTGCTAGTAGACAATGGCAGTGTTTCTAGTGTGGCAGCATCGTCAGCCAGGCTGGTTTACTGTATCCAAGAAATGACGTTTTATAAAGTAGACGAAACTAAGCTTCCAATTAGTGGTACGTAGTGAAACTCTATTTATTTTGCTAACACGTCGTGATTTGATATTGCTTGAAAATGCATTTTGCTACTAGAAAAGAGAGGGACTGCTAGCAAACATGGAGTAATAGGCTTGAATAAATAATTACACTTAATAACAAGGATAATTAGAAAATTACCATTAACCTTATTAGAGTATTGGTTGTAACGAAAACATGTGTTGACACAGATAATTCCTCTCATATTTCATCCACTTTTTCTATCATCATCTTGTAGGTGAGACGAAGGACTATATATGTAGAAAAAACTTTTCCATGGCAAAAGTACCAAGTACAAATTTATATTTGATTGTAACGGATAGAAGGAATCCTGCTTGCAACCAGAAAGACTGGAAACTCTTACGAGAGGCCGTCAAACATATCCTTTCGCACAACAACTCGCATGATCTCAAATTAATTTTCGTTTAGTTTGAATAACTTTATTTGCTTTTTGTTGTGAAATTTGAAATTGTAAAATGGGAGATTTTTATAGTCTGCCTTCTAAAAAATTCACAGGTTTTTGACAGTTTTCTGTTTTGTTCCCTAAGTTTTTATTTTTCGATCTATTTGCAGCAGAAAGGGTTTTCAAAACTCGGAGGCAGCATAGAAAATTAAAAAAAAAGATTGAAGTTTTTAATGCTCGTAATTAGCCAAGGATCCCAAAGATTTTTAGCAATTAATGACACAAAAACAGATATATTTTCGTATTCTTTTGATCATTTGAATAAAAAAGGAAAGCATCAATTTTTAAGTAGGAGTAACTTGAAACTACTTAATATTATTTGAAATGGCAGTTAAATTGCTGTTGCTAAAATATGAAATACTATGCTTGAAGACCAACTTATTTTAACTTATTGATTACGAGAAAAAATTATTGAGATGAAAATTTCTAGATTTATATTAAAAATTCAATTGAGATTAGGTGAGCTTACAAAATGTACAGCTGATACATGGATTTTCTTTGACTAAATGTTACTGCCGGAAAAGTGTGAAAATAAGCTAAGATACAGAAAGCGTACAAACAGTTCTTGCTCAAGATATCACAAGGCGAGTCTAGATTTAGGATCAATTAAAGATTGGGTTCTGATAATCCTCGGCGTCAAAGAGGGTACTCATAAATTTCTGTTTAAAAAATGTTAGAATAATATTTTAAGACGGAGATAGCGTCTAATCCCCTGGACTTACCTGAATGTGTTGTGGGAGACTGGGTAACCAGGGATAGATTAAGCGGGGGGAGGGGGTTGTAGGGGGTGTGACACCCACCCAATATTTCTGTGTCTTTCGGTAAAGATTGTTTCATTCGGTAAAAATCATTTGTTGGTAGTCAGTATTAACAAAATAACGCCAAGATTTTATTTTATTTTTTTCTTAGCAGCATTTAGCTTCTTATCAGTAGCGTAGCAGGGGAGGGGGAGGGGGAAGGAATATTCTGAAATGTATTAATCTATATCTCTATATCTGTACAGAATGTTCAACACTTTCCCCTCGTTTTTGGGTTTGTATAGAAAAGTCATTCACGTTCTTGAGACATTCCCGATAAAAAAGAAACTAAAATGCTAAATCAATCCAATCCTTAAAAAGACTGGATTCTGAAATGCTTCTCGTGGATTGTGGAGAACGGACTTGATTAAAAACTTTTGAATACTGTTTACTATTTTTAGATATTTGATAACAACTTTGCAAAATCGCTTTTTACACGTAGTGCTTCCTCGCCTTACACAATTCAAGATATAAACGTTGGTGGAATGGTGAAGGAAATAGACAGTTGTAGAATATGGTCAGCCACAAAACGCTACATATGACATTGTCAAAAGGGAAATTGCCACATAAAAATGTAATAGCTTTTCCAAACGCATTTACAAGTCGGGTGTTTTCCCAAATTCTTAGGGGTCTGGTCAGCAAAAATGTTATCCTCTTTGCCCCACCAATCTTCCAACCCTAGCTACGCCACTGCTTTTTATTGTCTTTACCTTAAAGCTGAAAACCAAATTTAAAAATGGGCGTTTCCATCATTTACCAGTGACTTGAAGGGTGTGGCATCAAAATTAGTGCACACTTATTACTTGAACTCCGCATCTGACTGTCCCTCTAGAGGAGCGAGCTTTATGTGTGCTATCACGCAGCTTGCAATGGTACAAAGGAAAACACAAAGTTTTTTCAGTAATTAGACTTGAGCAGATCTACAATCACTGCCAAAAGTCTTGGAACACTAACGTCAGTTTTTAAAGGCAAATTCAGCCACCCCTTCTCCCCCTAAGAACAATGTTGATTTACTATAGAAAAAAGGAAGGGATTGTAGGGTACGCTTTTTCGTGTGCCTTGTATGATATTTTTCTATACTTTCAACATTGTTTTGAGGGGAAAGGGGACGGAAGTAGTTGTATTCGGGAAAACAAATGAAAAATAGAAAAGCTCAGCGCAAAGTGTTAGGTGTTCCAAGTAATTTTGGCAGTGGTTGTAGCTCCTGACTGACTTTGGTGTCCAAGCAACATTATAACAGCTTCAACCCTGGAGGAATTTCAAACTGACACATCTTACGTCATATCTTGCTAAAATTTGACAATTCAATGGACTTGTTTCTGTGATTTACTTTGGGGCTGAGACTCGACAACAAGAACAGCTTTGTTTCATTGCTTCAAATGTAATTACATTAATACGCCTTGCTGTAACTTTGAAAATATCTTCAAATGCCTTGATGTTGCTAATAATAACTCTTCTGTAACAAAAGTATTATAATGAGCCTTTTGATTCAATTTTAGGATGAAAAATTACACTGCACCAGTGATGCCAGTAAATCGGATATACATTCACTTTTCATAATACTTTGGTTTTTCATCAATCTGGCAAGTGTAGCTACATGATGTAAGCATTTTACCATAGATGGAAATTTGTGTGTTCAGAGATGTTTCCACCAATCATGCACAATTGATTACTAAGTTAATCCTGCAAGTAAATGAGTGATCCTTGTTCACATGCAAGCTGCCTTCAGCTAAAAAGATCATAATGTGACATGAAATGCAGAGCTGTTTCATTACAATGCAAAGCTTGAGATACAATGCACAAAAAATAAGAAAATCTCTGTGCGTCAAAGGAGTGGCAAAGATGCTTGACAAATCATCAAGAATGAAAGATGGAATATATGAACTAAAAAAATTAAAATCAACTTATCAATTTTAAGGGAAGACATTTTGCGGAGAATTGACTGGATTTTAATGATTTGCTGTTAAATCTAAAGAACTACTGGGATTTTATATTTAATGAAAAATCAAGCAAAAACAAAAGACAATTTTTGTGATAAACGAATGAACAAATAAGTGTGCTAATAAAATATTACAATTTTGATGAAAACTTTTCCTTTCTTAGTCAATTTTCTAACAGCTTTTTAAATGTAATATTCTGTAGAGACATTGCAGCCTTCAGATAATTATAAATTTTACATAAACTTCAGTAGATTAGTTTATTGAAATGATAAATTTGTTGGTGATCTTTTTAGCATAAAAATCATAAAGTACCTTGTATTACTGTAATGCCAAAAGAAACATAAAATTGAAATCTGAAATAAGATACAAGGCAAATAGGAAACAATTCTTTAGAATCCAATAATGATTGCCAAATTGAGTCACTATAATACATAAATTATTGAATCTTCCTTTATAATAGATGACTAAAAGGAACAAAAAGCTAATAAAACAGGTTTAATGCAGAAATTTCTACAATGGGGATGAGTTGGCTGAGAAAAGAGAATAATTTTTTTAAGGGGAGGCACTAGTTCTTATCAAGACTTATTGTATGTCCTCAACAAATTATTCTTTACTGCTGCTTAAGAAAGATAAATTCACAGCATTCTCTGGTAAATATAGATATTTCGTTCAAAATAGGACTGACTTCCAGTCAAATTGGCAACAATTGCAAAACAGAAGCAGGAATATTTAGTATTTTTTCAATTATTCTACGTTTTCATAATATCCGTTATTGACTACCTGCTCCAACATTAGATAGCATCTATATGGTGAAATTAAAAATGTGATTGACCAAGTATACTAATTTTAACTAGCTAAACTAAGCAGTTCTTGCTTCTTGGTCTTCATTTTTTCCTTTACTTTTTTCCTCTGCAACAAACTTCTCATCAGCAGCAGCCTTCTTCTGCTGAGTACGACACCATTGTCTATAATCACTTAAAGTTTTAATATTTTCACCATAATAATCATCTTCAAATTTGCTGAATGATGCAAATCTGTGCTTTTGAATTCTCTCCAAGAAATCTCTCTCTCTCTAAAAAAGAATCAAACAAGCTAGCATTGACAAGGCTTTGATGATGTTTCATATACAAAGCAGGCCTGACTGTTTGTATTTTTGTAGGTGAGCTGTGAATCACTCTTATTTGCTGGGGCGAATAAATCAGTAACGCATAGAATGTAATTTAAAGGCAATGTCAAGTGGCTTAAAGCCCCTGTAGTATCTGTTGATTGCCTTTGAATAGTCTGGAAACTCTACGCTAGGAAATATATATACCTAGCTTTGGAAACAGGAGCATATAGCTGTTGAGGTTGACCAATCAGTTGCTGCTTGCCTATGGAAAATGTTACCCCTTGTTCTGTATAGACAATAACTATGTAGATGGATTCAAAACTGCTAGATGGAATGACGATTAAGCTCTACCAATAATCTGAAACATGTAGCCATTAAAGAGTTTTGCATCATCTGGGTTTTCCAGTAAATGTCGCTTGATAGTGGAATTACATGTTTTAGTTGTCTGTAGGTTGTTCTCTGTTCGAGCAGGAGGAGTTTGTTTCTAATGATGGAAGGGGCCTGCTTTTTATTCCATCCCCTAATTGACAATTGTTTACAATTAAGTTGACTTTCCAACCAAGAATATGCCTGTTTTGTTTCAAAAGATTGAAAGGCTCTACACTCTGCAACACACCTTTCCGTTACTACCCTTTTCCAAACAGATTTAAGTTTGTGATTATTATAACAAAAACCGCCCATCAGGCAAAAACTAATTGCAAAAAACGCAATGACGGGAGAAATCACTTTATCAAAAATAAACCAACCCCTGTAAGTTTTTCAGGGTTCTGCAAATATGAAAAGGGCAATTGAATATAAATTTTAGGGAAACATTTTTTCCTTCATGTTCTGTTCAGGAGAGCAATTTACAGCTAGTCTCAGGACGCAAGGGGAGAGTGGAGGGGAGGAAGTGCTATTGCTTGCCTCAAACGGCCAGGCCTGGACTCAAAATTTTAAATGTCAAGCTCTAGGAATTTTGTATTCTGTCCTTTATTCATAAACACATCCTTCATTTCTATGAAAAATGAGCATACCTCAAGTAGCATTGATGCCTTTTCTCTATTCATTATTCTCCAAAAAGACTTGAAAAGCTGAGTTCCCATTGCATATCCGAGACCTGCACTGACAACACCACAAATTCCACAGAAAACCAATGGATCCAGTCCCCTAGAAGTATAATTATCAGTCCTGGTAATATGAAATTTGGCGGCGTGCTGGTAATCACACATTTTGAAAAGTTTAGGCATGTGATGGGGTGCGAGGATGTGCGATCCATAAAATGGAGACCTTACGATTTTTATGAACTTACGATTTGATGGTGACGGCTTATACTTATTTTGAAATATCATCAATTTTTCCCTAAGTCATAAATTGGGCCTTTGATAATTCCTAGAAAAATTTGAAAATTAAGTTTAAATTTAAACAAGTTTTAATGGAAATGTTTACTAATGTGTTTAAGAGATTTTGATATTTATGAAGACACAAAAAAACTGGCAATTTCTATTTTCATAGTACGATAAGCTCACATTATCAACTGGACATTCTCCGGCGTTGCATCAAACATTTCTGGGAACATATAGGCTGACACAACTGAAGACGTCCCCAAACCAACAACTGCAAATGGTATTCCTGAAACTCTTTGCCTTGTCCTCACACTCGATTTTAATTTCATGTATTCTTCGAACGAGAGTGAAAATTGCTTTGGCTTAATTCTTGTAACATCTTCAATCCTTTTCGTTGGCCTAGAAAGTGCTGTTCCAGAATCTCCATTATCGACATCAAGCTGCGAATCCGAAAACCTTCGCCTTATTTCATTCTTATTAGAGTTCGTGTAGCTGTTGCTCACTGGGAATACACTAGCTGCAAATATTCTTACAAACGAAGGAAGATTTGTTTTAGAATAACGACAACTAATCTTCGCCATCTGCGACGCCATTTTGCTTTCACCATGCGCAAGACAAAGTGAGAAGTTGAATTGAATACTGCCTCATTTTGAGTAAGACCGGGAACCAGGGAGGCAGTAGTGTAAAGACACAACTACCACTAACCAGAAGAAATTATTAATAACTTTCAGAAATAAAGAATAATGGCTCCAAGGTGGTTACCACTAGAATCAAACCCAGAGGTAAATTTTTATAAACTATTTTATGTTTTTTAATTGGTAAACAATGCTTTGGTCTCCTGTTAGCAAAAATGGTGTTTAAACTTCAACTAAAAGTTGACATAGTTTTTATTATAGAATTTTGTCTTAGTTGGAGTTCAGCTTAAATTCTCTTAGAATTTATGTAAAATATAACTTGTCTTCTTATCAAATTAGGCATGCCATAAGAAATGAGACTCCACCCTTCAATTAGCCCCCATTGGCTGAGATATTGCTTCGACAATAATTGTACAATAGGTATCTCCAATGGCCATATCTAGACTTTTATGTTAATAATTATTAGTATTGATTATTATGATGAGCATCATGATCTTTTTTATGGGTTGAGTTGTGCGCAGGAAGATGAATGGTAAGTGATTAGCATGCTCCATTAACCTTTTGTATTTACCCCTATTGTTATTAGTTTTAAATTCTGTTCTATATGGAAAACATGAGCTTTGAGAAAAGTGAAGATCTTATTATACTTCTGAAATTCTAACAGGTTATAGGCCATAAAGCATATTGACCAGCCTAAGAAAAGACAGATAGAATTTGGCCGGGCAGTATCTTTGCCCTCAAAATATTTTTTGCCAAAGAAGCCCCTGGGGACTTTTGCTAGATGTAGATTGTTTGTTTGTATACCATCAAAGCACACTTCAAAAAGACCTCATAATTGCTGACCAGCCTATGTCTTGTGCATACCAAAGTAAAAATTGGAGTCATGAAGTAGACTTATTTGCTTTTTCTCTTGCAAAAAAGTAATTATAAACTTGTTAACCCTGCAGTTTTGCTTATGGCAAATCATACAAACTATCAGTTTGATAGTCACATTTGCCAATAGCATTGTCTGGAAACATGTTATCTAAATTTCCTGTATTCTCACATGTGCGCACACAGTCTCTTGTTTCTTCTCAGATTGAAAATTTTATAATTGGAATTAAAATGATAGCTAAGTTTTGTATTGCTGACTTTTGATGAAACCAGGTATTATTTATTTACACTATGATCCCATAATAGCACCAGCACTCTTGCAAAATCATTTGCATGTTTAACGGATGCTCTGCCAAAAAATTGCCATAAAAGACACAACCAAGAATGGAAGCAGATACATTTTTGGCAAAAAATATGGGTCTGGCAGATGGGTGACATATCTAATGAAACTGTAATTTGTAGGAGGGCATCTTCAGCCACAAAATTATGTTAAATTTTATTTACTTTAAAGATATTTTCTTCAGTTTGAATTATATTAATACTATTTGAACTGCAACATTCCCGCTTAAAAGCCTCTTTTAGTGCAAAAAACTGAGCAAAAATCCAGCAATGACAATGAATTTGGTGATACCACATTTTTCTGCTCCTGTGGCCTTGAACTGCTTCTTGTGGAAAACTTTTTTGGGCTTGGTTGTAGTATATGTTGATTCTTTTTTTAAACAAAATCAAATTAACTTTCTCTCTTACTATTCAAACCAATTTTACAGTTGTGTTCTTGATTCAACATCAATGAAAATTCTAAAAATGCAAAAAAGCTTCATGAAAGTAATCACTAGGATAAGAACACATTTGCAGCACCTCTTTTACATGTTCTCTATTACTTTCTAATGATGTTACACATGTGAATCATCATGCTTGTTTATAGGCTAGGTCTCCTTAATGGCAACACTTTCAATAAATCTCAACTCGGGGACATTCTACTCAAAACCTAACCTAGTTACCAACAGCCTGTGTGTATGATGTTGACCATTTGATATCATTTTAAAGTAATTTCAGTTATATACGTTTGCAGATTATTAGTTTTGCTTCTTTATTGATGAATTTTGCCTGATATTTTCTGAGATTTTCACTAAAACTCATGCATTTTTTCCTTTTCATGTTGCTGTTTTCATATGAAGGTTATAAACAAGGTATATATTTTACAAATCAGCCTGTACAAATATCTTTTATACCTTTGATCTTCTCTGCAAGGCAAATATAAAAAATATAAGGATCAAAATTGTCAGTATATATGACATCAATGGCATAGCCAAAGTGGTAAGATTGGGGAGGAAATGGAGTGAGCCTAGCTAGAGGAGTCTGGAGGCTTCTCTCAGAAAATTAATTGTTACCATACCCTTTAGAATCCTAGAAAACTCATCCTTTTGAAAAGTAATTTAAGTTGAAATTCAAATGAAGGATCATAACCACTATGACATTTGCCATTTGCATTGGAGAAACAAATTGGAGATGTGTGCATTCCAAAATACGTCTTTCTTACCATCTTGGCAGGGAATGCTTCTCCTGGTCTGATTCATATCTATTGCATACATTACCTCTAGTGATTTTTGCTGACTTTAATCAATATTGGAATAAGCCAATCAATGCTTTAGCAGTGTTTGAAAGATTTCCATGTAGTTGAAGGATATTATTTTTCCGTTTCCTTGATAATATGCTTGGTTATTTTTTTTGTGAAATCCTGAATTTTGGACAAGTTTGCTTCTTTAACTTGTTAATTTGAAAAATGTGTTATGATACAATTTTAGCCTATTGGAATGCAAGCTACTTTACCATGACTGACAGGTTGCGGAAACAAAATAATGATGTTTTGTTGCCTTAATTTTTGTGTTTGGGTCATTCCTTGGGGCACTGAATAAAACTATTAATACATCTTGCCTGTTTTTATTTTCTTTTTTAATTTTTCCAGCAAAGCTCTTGAAAGTAGCACAAAAACGTTTACAATTCTGCAACTAGTTTATTACAAATAAAACCTAATAAAAAATAAATGCAAATTTTGCTCCATCCATTTGAATCGGGGAGACAAATAAGTAAAATCTGGTAACGTGGAAGGCAACAATCCGTTTTTGAATTAAAGAGCATACACAATAATGATTAAGTTCCATTCATATGCTCCTTGTCTCCAAATTGATTGTCACCTTACTCACAATAAGACTTGTCTAGTGTTCCGTACAAGTTTTGAAATTTTTTGCTAAAGCCTGTTTTTGCTTAATGTACTTTGAGGCTGGTGGAAAATTTGAAAATTACTGCATAACCAATCAAATCAAATATAGAGAAAATTTTTGCAAATCATCACACAGTAACAAAATGAGCATTTTGGCCAAAATTCCAGGCCTGAATTTGAGTACTATTTTAATCCCAGAGGTTTTTTGTATGTAGATAGGTATTTATTCATGCTTGCTTATATTCAATGTTAGCTACTGTTTTTTAACTTGCAGTTCCTTTTAACCCTTGGGGTTGATGCGAATTGGCAGTTCTTTGATGTCTTTGGTCTCGATCCAGAGCTTCTTGCAATGATTCCAACACCTTGCTGTGCTCTTGTTTTGCTCTTCCCAATAACAGATACTGTATGTTTTTGAATTTTTGTTAGAACTTCACTTTTCACTTTTTAACTAGAGCTTTTCAAAATCTTTATTTATAATAAACCCCCTCTTTAAGTTTAAAGCGAAAAATTCAAGGTGGCTATTCAACTGAACCTCTTAGTATTTCCCTTCCAATGAGAATTGTTATAGTAAACTTTCTAGTTAACTAATCTTCACACCAAAACCATATCAAAAATGCACCTTCAGGGTCACCCATCACCCAGTTTCTGATTTTCTTAATGAAATTATCTTATTGCTATTAATGTCTACAATGACCACCTACCTGTTTTTACTAGCAACCACATTTTTGTTCATTAAATTAAGGAAAACATTATGGTACAATTGCCATGCATTTTCCCTTTAGTGTTTTACACTTTCTGCTTCTTTCTTTTTCACAACTTCAGTTGCTTAGCGTTTGTAAAGTTTTTATTTCCAAGAATAGAAAAAATAAAAATGCCATTGCTCTATTCAGCTGGCTGTTTCCATTACAGATACCTTTGATTTATTTTTGCTTGAAAGTGATTTAGCAAAAACTCAGTGCTGATTTTTGTGAAGCAAATTTCAGTGACTATTTGACAATGACTGCCTTTCTCTTCTGGCCTCCTTCAGTTGATTTGCTCTTTAGTAATTCCTTGTAAGGACTGAAAGCCTCAATTATAATTTAGAATCACTTTTTATTTATTTGATTATCTTCTTATTACAACCCTAGTACGAAAAGTTCAGGGCGGATGAAGACGAAGCCATTAAATCCAGTGGTCAAGTGAGTTGGTACTTCTTTATATCCATCTCAAAATTTTTGTTTGGAGATTAACCTTCCATTTCCAATAGTGCTAACTTCACAAAAAGGTGATCAGACCAAAAATAAAATTTGTTTTGAAGATGATTCTTTGTTTTGAAATGAATAGTTATACAATTTTTGATGAACCCCTGTCTTTTCGAATCGAATAATCTTCAAATTTAATGATTTTTCTAATTGTTTTGGTTGTTTAAAGGTTGTTCAAAGACACATGTCCAGTTAGAGCCAGCAACTCTGCGGGGGGTTTTCAGAAGAATGTGCTTTTTTATGTCATCACCCCAGCAATTATGGTCGCTCTATTTATCAAATTGTATATAGAAGCAGCATCCTTTTTGGAGAAATATTGTTAGTATTGGGTTAGCTTATTATGTCTGGCTTGATGTATTCAAATAAATGTGGGTCAGTTATATGATCACGTTATCTTTGAGTTATTCAAACGTAAACATGTACCGAATTTTTTATAGGAAGTTAGTCCAAATGTCTATTTCACAAAGCAAACTGTTGGAAATGCCTGTGGCACTATAGGAATCATTCATTCAATTGCAAATAATCAATGTGTAACATTAAGTAAGTTGCTTTTTTTATTTTCATACATAAAGCCTTGTCGTGCTGCACTTCCTAACACATAAAATTTTTTTCCTAACTTTGCCATCCTCGTATACTTTGCTTGAAATTTTGGCTCCACTGATTCTTAAGATTCTTTTGGAAAAATTCATTTGCAAAAAGCTAGAATTTAGCAGCCAAGGGAGTTTTTACTTTGCTTTTGTTGCTTTTGAGGAACGGAAATAGCAAAATCAGATTTTGAAAAAATCATAAAGTTATTTACTACTGAAAGGAGAACGAATGGGCCTTGAAAATATAATAAAAATAGGAAAGAAAAAAGCAGTGCCTCGAAAAAAATTCAAGCAACACCACCATCGCCTGCCCAAGCTTGGGCTTAAAATTGTAGAGAAATGCATTTGTAAGAAAAATGACTCGAAAAACGATTATATCTACCTTTTGAAAACCGTTTGTCATGATTAAGTTATATACTTAACATAAATGTTACAAGGAATGATTCTAAAAATCAGATCCTTTATTTCTTTTGTCATTCTTAGTGTCATTCTTTGTTAATTGAATATATAAAATATTTGTTATGGTTAATTAATGATATCATGCGCCTAATGTATGATATGTAAGTCACCCGCCAACATTCAATCGACAAGGCTTAATACTTTTAAAATTACATGTTATCAGACCTAGCTTTGAATTTTTACTCCTTTTGTATTCTCTTCCAGTACTTACAATCTGCATGTCAGCGATGTCCAGAAATTTTTCGACGTCGTTTTACAGTTGTGACAAATCTTTTAAATTTCTAATCGCTGTTAGGGCGACAAGTTATATAAACGAACAAAATTTTAGGATCACATTCACATTGGATGAAAAGTTACAGACTAAATGAATATAAAAAATGTTTTCAGTGAGTTTGCATAGCCAATCCCCTAAACATAAACGAAATTGTTTAGAGTCAGTTCATCATAAAAAATATAAAATTATCAGATGAAAATCTTTTTTCACCATTCGGTTAAAATTATACAATAAATAAGATGAAAATCTTTTTCCACCATTCGCGTAAAATTATACAATAGATAAGACAATTTATCGTCTTAGTTTAAAATGTGATAGTTTTCTTTTGTTTTTGTTTCAGAGAATGGTTTTCTGAAAAACTTCTTAGAAGCAACAAAAGATTTGTCCCCTGATGAGAGAGCCAAGGCTTTAGAAACTGACGAGGTTTGCGATATTTTGAACTCGTTTACATATGTAAAGTTGCAAAGACGGTGTTGCAAAGTTCGAGAACGAATGCATAATCAAGTTGGTAGTCTGATAAAAAGTTTTAAAAAGTCCTTATATTATCAACATGTGGCGTTGATTGAGCAATCAATGCGCAGAATGGACTTTTTTGAAAATTCATTTTAATGTTAATTAGCTAGTAAGAGTCTATGTTCATCTTGACAATGATCCAGCATTTGCTTTTTGGCTTCATCTCTTACTCGATCAATTGTTTGACGCATTGTTTATCATTTTCTGTACGTTTTTAAAAAATTTGTACAGTGATCTTTGCAAATCAGCTTTTCAAATGAACTTCAATATAATTTGCAGGGAATTTCAACTGCTCACGAAGAAAGTGCAAAAGAAGGGCAAACTGAGGTTTCTAGTTACAGACATTTTATATAAATCATGCTGATATAGTTATAGAAGTCATGCTATCAGTTCTGAAGTTACGTAATATTTATCTGTAAATTGTAATGTCATTCAGGTTTTCATAGTTCATAGAAATTCAAATACGTTTGTATGTCAAGTTATTTGGCATCTGCACCAAACCCTGCGAGGTAACTAAATTGCATATTTTAGTGTTGATTTGATGACAATTTTGACAATTTGCTAGGTTCCAAATCTCAGAGGATTTAAAGCCTGGATGAATTTTATCAAAATAATTTCAAGAAAAAAAATTTGACAAGTCATCAATGCTCATTATTGAATGATCTATCTTCGATTCCAGGCTCCATCACCTGAAACAAAAGTGAACCTACATTTCGTAGCATTTGTTCACAAAGATGGCTCTCTTTACGAATTAGGTATTTCTATTCGTAAAGAATTTTGATATTTCTGTATATTGTAGTATTCAATACATTGTAACGTCATGAACAGAAAAACTTTGTTGTCAATTGAAAAAGGGTTATAACGTCTTCAGAGAATAACACCACATCATATTTTAAATTTTTATTTATTCTATTATATTTCATATTTTTATTCAATCTACATTTTTAAAACTCGTCAAACCCACGATAATCAATTTTTTAATAGAATTTACGAGTCATTGAAAATGTAAGTCTTCCATCCAGTTTAAACAAATCCGTTGAATTATTTCATGGCTATATTAGTAACAAGTGTTCTGAATTCTCTTCTCGAACGTTTTGTTTATTTTTTTCCACCAATTTCAGTTTTGACTGGCTAGGAGAAGTACGATAAAAAATGAAATATGTATGAAATGTCAAGGAATACTCCATTTTTTCCTTAACACGTGAAATGCAATACCAGATTCTTATTCAGGCAGTATGATAAATATTCTTGGTTTCATGGTCATATTTTGTGAAAAATTTGCTTCTCCTTAAAATAAAGATCTTACGTTCAAATCCAATGAGCATTACTACTTATCAGACTTAAATTACAGTCCTCTATTTTATCAGACTTATCAATCCAGACAAGATTTAGAACCCAAATAGATAGTGAACTATGTTGCAATTCAGTTTGTATCTAATTGCGTACCTTTTATTGCAGATGGAAGAAAAAATTTCCCAATCAATCATGGAAAAACATCAGAGCAAGACTTTTTGAAAGTAAGCAGTCAGAATGTTTTAATAGAAATTTAGAGGCTCATAGTGTAAATGATCTAGAAAAGCTTTTTGATTTTACGATCTTTTTCACTCGTAAGATGGCCTTTTTTAAATGTTTAGGCAGTTTCTTAGATCGTCTGTGCTATTCATATGGTAGCTACTCGACTAGAATGCTTATCATGCCAACGTTTGATATACTGAATGACAGGTGTATGCTAGTCATTTGAAATTTGCAATTTTGAGACTGACAAAGACTGTCGTTTTGAGAAGATCTCAGTTTGGTACGACAAAATGAATTTAATTAAGCGGTTTTGTGTTCATGACAAAATATGGTACCTTGTTGTCATGGAAACGTTGCATTTGATAATTTTTTAAAGCATTTGACGTTGGCAGTAGAGCCAGCCAAAGGCATATTAGATAGTGTTATTACCAAAGCATGAATTTACAGGCTCCAAAGAGTACAATATAGCTTGACTGTACAATGAACGCTTGGTAGCCGGTTCTTTGGTACCATTGTGCACAACATTCATCATTTGTAAACTAGATTTTTATAGTATTCCTTAATGGTAAGGCTACTTCTAGTTGATCATTGAAAAATAGGATACCCATTCAATGTCTAGATGTGCTGTTTAATCTCAATCCTCGTTTACATTATGGTTGTATTTTTCTTTCAGGATGCTGCATCAGTTTGTAAGAAGTTCATGCAAAGGGATGCAAGTAACCATCAATTTAACATCGTTGCTTTATCTTCTGCAGCATAGAGATACTCTAAAGTTTAAACATGGGTATTCTTATCCGTCGTGCACTGCAAAGGCTGGGGGACACTAAGAGCGTTTCCATGGAATATATGCCTGGGAACTTCAGCTAATTTTAAAGACAATACTTCATCTTATTTTGCGTTACAGGTTTGCTGTTTCTTAATCTTCAGGAAGAATTATTATTTATTATCCTGTCACGAAAAGCTGTTGTTTCTTCTGCATTAAAACTGGCATTCCTTTCTTAATATTGAGTGAAGATAAGTTTGTGCTTTGTAACTTTTAGGGCTAAAACCTGTATCTCCGTTTTAAATGTTGCGTTCTTAAAAGTAGGAATTTTCTTACACAGTTTTACTGCTATATTCTGAGTAAATAATAAAATTGCCTTAATTTGAAAGCGACTTTGTTTCCCAGGGCTGCTCATAAACTTTGAATGGCAGCAAGGGTTCCTTGTTTGCCAATTCATACAATTTCTGTCTTATCGAGGTATTTGTCTCCTACTCTTTCGAGTTTTTAATCCCCCCCCCCCCCACTCTCTCAATCTCAGTCGTAGACGTTAATGTTAATGCCTGAATGCTACTTGTCCTGGATTGTTTGAGGTTCTTGGCTAATCAAAAGTTAAAACTAAAAGAAAAACAGATGTAGAATTAACATTTAACTAACTGGTCACACATTAGAAGTATCATGCATAGTTACATTCATACATACATTATTTATTTAAAAATGCAGGTCACCTAAATGGCAGCTTTCGCTGATGTGGATCTGCTAATTATCTCTACTTCCGCTTGCAACATTTATCCAAAATTTTTACAATCGAGATATCAAAACATCAAATTTGTTTTCTTGCAAGCAAAACACACAAAGTGAAGGAAGCTTTGGTTTTAATTTCCTTGTGTATGAGGAAAGTTTTATTCACCATGTTGCATCCATGAATTTATTACAATTTCCAACCAGTCGAACCTAAAATGCCGATTGCTTTATCAAAAGGAGGAATGTAAATGTAACACCCGAACAGTCATTTTTTCGGCACATCCATGCATGCAAAGTGAAAGTGTTTGGTTTCCTTAAATACTGACCTGCATGATAGGCGAGAAAAGAATTTTGATAATCAAAAGTTGTTTATCATGTAAATCCTACAAATCATAAATCTGCATAGAAAACCTCAGCTTGAAATGAAACCTCGTTCCTGCGCAGACTGGCCTAGGCACTACCACAGAATCTGTGGCACTACCTCGAATCAAACGACAATTATTGAAGGCATTTTACAACTAAAAAGAAGTTATCAGATTTGTGGAATAAAAATAATTGATCCAAAATGAAAACCATGAAACTGACGGACAATGTTGTGAGAGCATTTCGCGTTGCAAAGGTTTTCCGCGAAAACAGCGATGTGATAAACGCGATGGACTTCTCGCCAAATGGAGATACGTTGATTACGAGTAGTGATGATGATTCAGTTGTTATTTATGACTGCTTGGAAGGAAAGTGAGTTTGCTCTAAACATTTTAATTATTTTTCATTCACTTGAATCTAAATGACATTTGCTTTGGCCACAAATGTCAATAGTGGTAACAAAACAAGCTTTGTTGTCAGATCAGATTGAGGAGCCGCTCCTGGAAGCCAGTGGTGCCAGACTGCAGAGAATGGCAAGTGCACACTCTACCTGCAAACCGAAACCTATCGTCAGTAAGTTTAAACTGTGTGCACAATTATGCATCATAGACAGTGCATCACAAATTTCCGCACATGTTGGTTGCCCTGTGCACACTTGAGGTCTTGTTGAAAAAGTGCATATAGGCTTGAGATTCACCCACTAAAAAGCCTTGCATGCAGCATATCATTTATAACTTTTGATCATAGGTAATAACTGGGATGGTTTTGTGAAGAGCTTTTGCAACACAAGTATCTTCACTGTAGGACTATTCAAACCCGATTTTGTTATGTGATAAATCATGGCAGTTGTCATTGAAATCAGTTTTTCCAAAAAACTTTTAGGCACAAATTGAAAAATCTATGCAAACAATCAAACAAGGGGGCTCAATAATTTGATGAAAGTAATGTGATTGCTATGAACTCCTTCCATATCTGGCTATGAATGCAAGTCACCTTTTTCACCTTGTATGATAGGTAATAGGCTAGAATATTCTTAAATAATGCTACCAAATCATATGTAGACTTTTGTTGCATCAGCCTTTTTTACATGTTATTGTTTTTGTTTTAGGCCAAAAAGAACTCTTAATAGTAAGAAGTATGGAGTGGCAAATATTAGATATACTCATACAACTACCACAGTGATACATGCATCAACCAAAGTTGATCGTAAGTTTCATTTAATAGTGGTATTTAGAATTTAATGTTGCATGCCAGTTTTTTGAGCTGCTATTTTCTTGTTTTTGAAAAATATATTCCTTTGCACAAAGCATTAAATTGTGAGGAATAGATGTATCTTCTATTATCGAATTTCCAATCATCATCTTTTGTGTCCCAAGCAATTGACAGAAAGCTAATTTTGCTCAGTAAATTTTTTCAAGAAACAACTTCTAGGACTCATTCGTCCACCCTCTAAATCGGTCTACGGAATTCATGATCCAAAACTTTTATCTGTTTCAACACAGCTACGCGTTGGACTAAGTAAGCTAAATTACCACAAATTTAAACATAATTTTAGGGATACTTTTAATCCCCTGTGCCTGATAAATGATGGTATTGAGAATACGGAGCACTTTTTGCTGCTCTGCAGTGCCTATGACATACACAGATGTGATCTTCTCGACAGCGTTAATACAATATTGCGTCCTCATTGCCTATCTAACCCTCCAAACAAAAAACTATTGCAAATAATCCTTTATGGCTATGAAAAGTTACCTTTTGATTCAAATAGCAACATTAAAATACATTCAGGCCTCAGAACGGTTCCGATAAGTTATCAACTTTCTCGTGAAAACCTCTCTCCTGTAAATTATTTTCTCTTTTGTGTAAATTTTATTCCTTTTTCGATTGGAGTGGTGTCGCTCATCATATCTGGGCCCAAATTTGTTTGATTAGCAAGGAACATAGGTAGACTTGATATCTCCTTTTAAAATAGCTTTTTGTGAGTATTTGTCATATCTGCAACGCTATTGGAACGATGGGCGACACCACTCCAATCACTTTTCTAGCTTATTATTGTATTATTTGTGTCTCTATGTTAAGTATAAATCTTAGGGTTGTTATGCATTTCCATGCTCCCTAGGCTTTTGTATTGTAATTGATTGTCGTTGTAAATTTTATGAGAATATATAAAAATAAAAAAACAACAGAAAGGCAGTTTATCAAAAAAGAAAAAAAGACAATTGAATATTGAATCCAATGCAAATGTTTAGGAATAATTAGGCATTTAGTATATATTTGACCTACAATAGCCCTGGGAACATCATCTGGGCAGTTAAAGTATTTTTAAACAGGTTTGGATCAAAATTTTGCGATCATCCGGCAATAACAACTATATGACCTTCGAGATTTACATAAAATTTATTAATGAAGCACATTTATATTGGGCATTTAATCTTTCTTGGCGTGCATTAAAGGTTATTGTAACAGTTTGTTTTCATTTGATGTTACTTTAAACAAAAGGTTACCTTATAACAGGATCATATGGTTTTTATAAACATTGTGGATGCTTTTAGCATTGTTGGTTATAATCATTTGTAGAGTGATCAATCATGTAAGAGAAATCACACGAGTGCTGGGCCACTCTCATTGGCTATTTCTTATGAAGAAGCCTGACATGACCATAAATGGTCAATTTTTTTTAATGATGGAGGGGGCTTTTTCATAATCTAGAGAAAAGAAACAGTTTTTATGTTATTGATTCTTATAGGATTGTGATAATTCAGTCAATTTATTGTTATTGCATCTTTTAGACACCATACGATACCTATCGTTACATGACAACAAGTATCTAAGATACTTCATTGGACATACAAAAAAGTTAGTAAATACATTTGATATTGATTGCTTTCTTATTTAATGGCTTTATTTCAAAGTGTGTTTAAAGGACCATTTAGTGTTTAACAGCACACATTTGCAATTATAGATAGTTTCTAGTTTATTGAAGATGTAAAATCTTGATGTAAGATGGACCTCTTGAAGATGTAAAATCTGTTGAAGCTATATGTGATCTTTTCTATTTACATATAGAAAGTAATTTGAAGGGGAAAACAGCTAATTAAAAACCTAGCAACACTGCTTTAGATATATACAAATCCGTTAGTCTTTCTAAATGTGTATTGTATTAAGCTTTCTTGTTTGAAAAGTAAAATTTTAGTAATTACAGACGTTCTGTTTTCTATCTATCTAATATTTTCCTTTGTAGAGTGGTCACGCTAAATATGTCACCTGTTGATGACACATTTATTTCTGGATCATTAGACAAAACTATAAGAATATGGGATCTTAGATCTCCTAATTGTCAGGTACTTTTTGCATAATTATTGCAACTTTCTAATTAAAATGCTATTTCATTTCTTCCTGTCATAGCTATACTGTCAAATGGTCTGATCCACTTGTATTTTCTTATCATCCCTTCCAAAGATTTGTTGATAATGGTGTTTTTTCCTGTGAAATGGTTTTGATAGTTGCCATAATAGCAATGTTGGTTTATAGGAAAAACTGGGCATTTTATTCTCATTTCACATGTACATAGCTATCTTGTGCCGATTCAAGTCATATGCATAATTGCTAACAGCCATCAATGTCATAATACTTATTTTATTAGCAACCATAGGCTTTTTGAGGGGGGAAGCCACTTGACATTTTGTTTGGGAAGTTCCCTTTGGCTTTTTAAGCATATGCTTCAAGGCTCTTAGTCTTATACACAATCTTGATCCATTTCATATCCTGTCTCATATTTCTGCATCTTTCCCAGGGTCTGATGCATGTGAGTGGCAGACCTGTTGGATCATTTGACAATGAAGGCCTGATATTTGCTGCTGGAGTTGATGCTGAAGTTGTTAGACTATATGATCTTAGGTCGTTTGATAAGGTTGGTTCAGGACTTATCTTTAAAACTGTTCAATTTTTGTTGCTCCCTTTTAAGCCCTACAAGAAACGTTAGCGAACCCAAACAGGTGAATTCAACTGACTTGTCATAATGACTCGGTGATGGTTGCGTAGATGAGAGAATTATTTGTTGCAAGTCAGCTGTTTTGCTAGTTTGAATGTGCAAATTCTCATCCAGTGAATTCAAAAACGCAGCTGAACATTGGTTTTATCCAAATTCTCTTTACAGCAGTACAAAAAATATAGCAGTTGTTTTTTATTCTGAAAGATTGCTGTAGCAGTTGCTTTTAAACTTATGAAATAAAATGATTTAACTTTAAATCAGCCATTTTTGTTTATCAAAGGGCCCTTTTGCGACATTCCATTTACCTGTCCGAGAACCAGATACCGAATTAACAGACATAAAATTCAGTTTGGATGGCAAGTCGATCCTTGTAAGCACAACAGTTGGTGTGGTACATCTACTTGATGCCTTTCAAGGTCATCAGCTCCAGATGTTTTCGGTAAAAGCTCTTATTCTGTGTTCTTTTCACTTGGTATTTTTTCGAACAGCCCATAAAGATAAAGATGTTTTTTATTATTTCTTGATACAGAGAGATTAGATTTCAATATGTTGGGATGTTTACCAACATGACACTGTAAAATGTTCATGTTTATGTTCATGCACAACATTCTAAAATGCATCTTTACAATACTCTTAAACTTTGAAAACGTTTCTCAGAAAAACAATGAAAGCAATGTGGGGTTTGGGTTGGGCTTTAAAGGTTTCTTTGGTTTTCATTGGCCTTCCTCGCGGCTGTTGACCGCCATGTTGTTTGCAAGCTTCACGAAAGTGCTTCTACCTCTGCAATTATTCTTTAGCTTGAAATGTCATACGCTTTTGCAGATCAGTTGCATATTACTTGTTCAAGAATTCAGAAACAAGAAAATTTTCCATCCCATATTTTACGACCAGTGTCTTGCCTGAATCCAAGTAACAAATTACTTTCATTTGCAGGGCCAGAAATTTGAAAAAGGTGCACAACTTGAAGCTTCGTATAGCCCTGATTCGCAGTATGTTTTTACTGGTAGGCTCAAAATCATATTTTAAAATGCATTTCTTTTGATGAAAGTTATGTGATGTAGAACTAATCTTTCATTGATGTTTGTAGGCAGTCTCTCCCTTCAGCGAATGGCTGATGTGAAAAAGGGACTTGAACCATCCAACGCCGTTTCTGATTGGCTATTTTCGCCAACCAGGCGTGCATCCCACTTGTTTGCTAGTCATTTCACAGGCTGTCTTAAGACATCCTGTCCTTGGGGTACTTTGGTTCAAATTTACAAGACTCGTTCTTACTATAGTTCGTAGTGAATTGCTCGTAAATTACACATCAGTTCTAGATAAACAATTCTGGCATTGAAGTGTGTAATAAGAATCAGCACGTTCTTGCGCGCATCAGCAGAGAATTCGGTCAACCTCAACATATCTTTGTTATTTGCTGCCACACCTGTTAGGGTCAACTGCATATAGCCTCCCCCAACTGCACATAGCCTTTTTCACAATAAGAGATGCCCTTTTGCAACAAACCCCCACGAGTAGAATTGCTTAAAAATTTCTTTGGTATATTTCTTTGATCATTTTCGATCTTACTACCACAGGCTCAAGTGATGGAAAAATTCATGTATGGGCAACTGATAGTGGCAAAAAGATAACAGTTTTAGATGCAAATCATCCAGGATCTGTACAAAACGTCAAATTTAATCCAAAGTATATGATGCTAGCTAGCACCTGCACCAATATGGTATGTGGTATCAGTCATCACTTTTACATTTCTTCGCAAAGTTTACATCTAGTCATTGTCTTGTTATTTATATCATCTCACTCATTTCATTTCATTTTTGCTATTCTTAACAACAGGCATTCTGGATTCCGAATGTTGATGAAATAGACTGAACACTGAAAGATGATCTCTAAATATCATTAGCTGCTGGAATCCAGCCAGTTAACCGAGTACTATGCCTGGTTTTTATTGAAAAGAGCAGTTACTCTCGAGATCAAAAGAAGAAGTTAAAGCACCGGATCTACCAAGATTTGTTTCAAATACAGTGATCTTTCGGTAAAATATTAACGTTTATCCATGAAACTGAACTACTGTAAATATACGCCAGAAAGTAACAAGGCAATCGAATACGGACCTAGTTTTTTGTCTTCCTAGTTTTGCTCATATTGAATTCAATTGTTCTTAGTCGATTGCTATTTTCAAAATGAAATAATAGTCTTTGGTGAAGTTGCTACCAACCAATTTTTACGTTGAAATTTTGAATGGTTGATCGTATATCAAAACAACAAGTACGCTGTTGCCTTCCGGTTTTCATTGATGTTATTGTTATTCTTAGTTTCCATTCCCATCGACATTCATAACGACAACAGCACATGAATGCATTGAGTCATATTTTTTATTTGAGCTGTCCTTGAGGCGAAATCCGATGCTGAAAATCTGCAACTGTTCTGAGTCTACGTGATATGATGAAAGCTCAAAGTGAACTTTTCCCATTAAATGAAATTAGGATTAAGATTTCAGGCAGCCTTATATCTTAAAACTTTATTGCTGGCAATCTAAACCATTTCATACTCTTTTACGAAAAAGAGCTGACTTTCAACATTTTTCCGAGCCTATTGGCTTTTGTTTTCGTTTATAATTTTAGGTTAATTTGTTTCATCAAAATTTGAAATAACCATGAAGACCTTAAGCAATTGAAAGTCATAATCGTACCATTAAACTCACAGTTCAAAATTACCACCAAGTTCTTTTCTTATTTACAATGATCAAACCATATTTGCAAATTTTCAGGTTGAGTTTGAACTGTTTTTGAAGTTAAAAATTGGTTGTCTTTAATTCACAATACTTGGGTTTTAGCGATCTGAGTCAAAATTATATCTCATTTAGAGTCATAGTTAAATGGGCAACCATAATCCAAATAAGACATGAAAACGTGTAAATCACCTACTGAATCTTTTTCAGGTTGTTTTTGGCTGTAAAATAAAAGTTTTTCTAGTTAACGATATTTTTGAAAAAGGCGAGGCTATAAGGCTTGCCAAAATATCCGATTGTCGACCAAGAATCAATAGAAAAAAGCAAATCAACTCTTGACCCTATTTCAGGTTGTTTTCGGCTGTAACATAGAAGTTTTTCTAGTTAACAATTTTCGCAAAAAAGGCAAGGCTATAGGCTTACCAAAATATCCGATTTGTGACCAAGAATTTCTTCATCCAAAACTTGACCAAATATAATCGTAATAAGCAGTAAAGACGTGCAAATCAACTCTTGACCTCATTTCAGGTTGTTTTTGGCTGTAAAAAAGAAGTTTTTCTAGTTAACAATTTTCGCAAAAAAGGCAAGGCTATAGCCTTACCAAAATATCCGATTTGTGACCAAGAATTTCTTCATCCAAAACTTGACCAAATATAATCGTGATAAGCAGTAAAGACGTGTAAATCAACTCTTGACCTCATTTCAGGTTGTTTTCGGCTGTAAAATAGAAGTTTTTCTAGTTAACAATTTTCGCAAAAAAGGCAAGGCTATAGGCTTACCAAAATATCCGATTTGTGACCAAGAATTTCTTCATCCAAAACTTGACCAAATATAATCGTAATAAGCAGTAAAGACGTGTAAATCAACTCTTGACCTCATTTCAGGTTGTTTTTGGCTGTAAAATAGAAGTTTTTCTAGTTAACAATTTTCGCAAAAAAGGCAAGGCTATAGCCTTACCAAAATATCCGATTTGTGACCAAGAATTTCTTCATCCAAAACTTGACCAAATATAATCGTAATAAGAAGTAAAGACCTGTAAATCAACTCTTGACCTCATTTCAGGTTGTTTTTGGCTGTAAAATAGAAGTTTTTCTAGTTAACAATTTTCGCAAAAAAGGCAAGGCTATAGGCTTACCAAAATATCCGATTTGTGACCAAGAATTTCTTCATCCAAAACTTGACCAAATATATTCGTAATAAGCAGTAAAGACGTGTAAATCAACTCTTGACCTCATTTCAGGTTGTTTTTGGCTGTAAAATAAGTGTTTTTCTAGTTAACAATTTTCGGAAAAAAGGCAAGGCTATAGCCTTACCAAAATATCCGATTTGTGACCAAGAATTTCTTCATCCAAAACTTGACCAAATATAATCGTAATAAGCAGTAAAGACCTGTAAATCAACTCTTAACCTCATTTCAGGTTGTTTTTGGCTGTAAAATAGAAGTTTTTCTAGTTAACAATTTTCGCAAAAAAGGCAAGGCTATAGGCTTACCAAAATATCCGATTTGTGACCAAGAATTTCTTCATCCAAAACTTGTCCAAATTTAATCGTAATAAGCAGTAAAGACCTGTAAATCAACTCTTAACCTCATTTCAGGTTGTTTTTGGCTGTAAAATAAGTGTTTTTCTAGTTAACAATTTTCGGAAAAAAGGCAAGGCTATAGCCTTACCAAAATATCCGATTTGTGACCAAGAATTTCTTCATCCAAAACTTGACCAAATATAATCGTAATAAGCAGTAAAGACCTGTAAATCAACTCTTGACCTCATTTCAGGTTGTTTTTGGCTGTAAAATAGAAAGTTTTCTAGTTAACAATTTTCGCAAAAAAGGCAAGGCTATAGGCTTACCAAAATATCCGATTTGTGACCAAGAATTTCTTCATCCAAAACTTGACCAAATATAATCGTAATAAGCAGTAAAGACCTGTAAATCAACTCTTGACCTCATTTCAGGTTGTTTTTGGCTGTAAAATAGAAGTTTTTCTAGTTAACAATTTTGGTAAAAAAGGCAAGGCTATAGGCTTACCAAAATATCCGATTGGTGACCAAGAAATTCTTCATCAAAAACTTGAATAAATATAATCGTAATAAGCAGTAAAGACGTGTAAATCAACTCTTGACCCCATTTCAGGTTGTTTTTGGCTGGAAAATAGGAGTTTTTCTTGTTAACAATTTTCGGAAAAAAGGCAAGGCTATAGGCTGAGCAAAATATTCGATTTGAGACCAAGAATTTCTTCATCCAAAACTTGACCAAATATAATCGTAATAAGCAGTATAGACGTGTAAATCAACTCTTGACCTCATTTCAGGTTGTTTTTGGCTGTAAAATAGAAGTTTTTCTAGTTAACAATTTTCGCAAAAAAGGCAAGGCTATAGCCTTACCAAAATATCCGATTTGTGACCAAGAATTTCTTCATCCAAAACTTGACCAAATATAATCGTAATAAGCAGTAAAGACGTGTAAATCAACTCTTGACCTCATTTCAGGTTGTTTTTTGCTGGAAAATAGAAGTTTTTCTAATTAACAATTTTCGCAAAAAAGGCAAGGCTATAGGCTTGCCAAAATATCAGATTTGTGACCAAGAATTTCATCATCCAAAACTTGACTAAGTATAATCGTAATAAGCAGTAAAGACGTGTAAATCAACTCTTGACCTCATTTGAGGTTGTTTTTGGTTGTAAAATAGAAGTTTTTCTAGTTAACAATTTTCGCAAAAAAGGCAAGGCTATAGCCTTACCAAAATATCCGATTTGTGACCAAGAATTTCTTCATCCAAAACTTGACCAAATATAATCGTAATAAGCAGTAAAGACGTGTAAATCAACTCTTGACCTCATTTGAGGTTGTTTTTTGCTGGAAAATAGAAGTTTTTCTAGTTAACAATTTTCGCAAAAAAGGCAAGGCTACAGCCTTACCAAAATATCCGAGTTGTGACCAAGAATTTCTTTATCGAAAACTTGACCAAATATAATCGTAATAAGCAGTAAAGACGTGTAAATCAATTCTTGACTTCATTTGAGGTTGTTTTTGGCTAAAAAATAGAAGTTTTTCTTGTTAACAATTTTCGCAAAAAAGGCAAGACTATAGGCTTACCAAAATATCAGATTTGTGACCAAGAATTTCTTCATCCAAAACTTGAATAAATATAATCGTAATAAGCAGTAAAGACGTGTAAATCAACTCTTGACCTCATTTCAGGTTGTTTTTTGCTGGAAAATAGAAGCTTTTCTAGTTAACAATTTTCGCAAAAAAGGCAAGGCTATAGGCTTACCAAAATATCCGATTTGTGACCAAGAATTTCTTTATCCAAAACTTGACCAAATATAATCGTAATAAGCAGTAAAGACGTGTAAATCAACTCTTGACCTCATTTGAGGTTGTTTTTGGCTAAAAAATAGAAGTTCTTCTAGCTAACAATTTTCGCAAAAAAGGCAAGGCTACAGCCTTACCAAAATATCCGAGTTGTGACCAAGAATTTCTTCATCGAAAACTTGACCAAATATAATCGTAATAAGCAGTAAAGACGTGTAAATTAACTCTTGACCTCATTTGAGGTTGTTTTTGGCTAAAAAATAGAAGTTTTTCTAGTTAACAATTTACGCAAAAAAGGCAAGGCTATAGGCTTACCAAAATATCAGATTTGTGACCAAGAATTTCTTCATCAAAAACTTGAATAAATATAATCGTAATAAGCAGTAAAGACGTGTAAATCAACTCTTGACCCCATTTCAGGTTGTTTTTGGCTGTAAGATAGGAGTTTTTCTAGTTAACAATTTTCGCAAAAAAGGCAAGGCTATAGGCTTACCAAAATATCAGATTTGTGACCAAGAAATTCTTCATCAAAAACTTGAATAAATATAATCGTAATAAACAGTAAAGACGTGTAAATCAACTCTTGAACTCATTTCAGGTTGTTTTTGGCTGTAAATAGGAGTTTTTCTAGTTAACAATTTTCGCAAAAAAGGCAAGGCTATAGGCTTACCAAAATATCAGATTTGTGACCAAGAATTTCCTCATCCAAAACTTGAATAAATATAATCGTAATAAGCAGTAAAGACGTGTAAATCAACTCTTGACCTCATTTCAGGTTGTTTTTTGCTGGAAAATAGAAGTTTTTCTAGTCAACAATTTTCGCAAAAAAGGCAAGGCTATAGGCTTACCAAAATATCCGATTTCTGACCAAGAATATTTTCATCCAAAACTTGACTGAATATAATCGTAATGAGCAGTAAAGACGTGTAAATCAACTCTTGACCCCATTTCAGGTTGTTTTTGGCTGCAAAATAGGAGTTTTTCTAGATAACAATTTTGGTAAAAAAGGCAAGGCTATAGCCTTAACAAAATATCCGATTTGTGACCAAGAATTTCATCATCCA